TGTTCGCAGCCAAGATATGATCGTTAATGACTCTCCCAAGAACGGCTCGAAGGACAATCACGATCGAATACAAGCTGTTGCGAAGTAGTTTCCATAAGCCTGGGATAGTTGTCTTCAATGATTCCGCATCCAAGAAGTCCGCTTCCTCGGCTTTGTCAACTTCGGATAGCTTGTTCTGCCGCCATTGGACCATTAGTATGCGGACAAAGTCCGCAATGTGATCAACTGACCGCGCAATGAGTCCCGGGTCATGCGCATTTTCAATTGCATGTGCAATCAGTCGGGACAGTGGTCCTAACGCCGAGATGAGAGGACTGGAGGAAATTGCTGCCACGCGCATGAAAGTATCAGATTGTGAAGACCATTGGAAGCACTTCCCTGGTGCCTCAACAATATCTTTATCAATTGTCCCTAGAAAGTAACCCCCTTCGAGACCCTCCGGGGATGAAAATGTCGCATCTATCATTACCGGCAATAGTCGGTCGTAGTTAAGGTTGCTCCTCTCCAAGTCGGACAACAATGGAAACGTATAATTCAAAACCATGGTAATGCAGAGGCCGTCGATCTTGTTGTGGGGATCTAACTCTTCAATAGCAAGCTGCGCAGCAGTTACAAGAGCCGACTCAAGCTTTTTACGGACACTGAGAGGCAAGCCTTGTCTATCCTGTGCTTCAAAGCCTAGAAGAACTCCTCCAATTAGAAGCATATGTCTCCAACGTGGAGACTTCTCGTCCGCTCCACTGACAACAGCTTTGACCCATGCTTCTCGTTCTATCTTCACAGGCTTAGTGTATGGTATCCTTAGGTCATCGGATTCTTCGTTTCGGATGATGGCCATGGCGGCTGTGTTGAATACACTGAGTATCTTCCGGCAGGCATGGAGGTCGACTGCATGGTCCCATACAGAGGGGGCTACAAGCAGCTGTGATGCAAGCAAACTAATATTCAAAGGATTTCCGAGTACGGATAAGAGGCCGGTGGCTGTAGGGAGCAGGCTGAAGAAGAATCGTCAGTTGAGGCCCTTGATCGGCCGACAGAGCAGGTGTTATCATACGCAGATGCATCTTGAAGTTCTGATGGGGATTGGAGCGACCGTAAGAGAGCGCCCAGAGAGCGCGCTGTTGCCATTTTGAATAACAGGAATGCTTGACTTGAGGATAGAAACACGTAAGGAACGAAATGCAATGACACCTGCCAAAGGCCGTCGTATTCGGCAATTGGAGTAGACGATAGGTCTCCAGCGCTATCAGTTACCGCGGAGGGCCCCGGATCACCTGCCGAGGTTGGGAGCATAGAGGCAAACAATGCAAACCGGCCATAGCTCCGAGCTATAACCTACGCGGAGTAAGTAAGATGACTCCCGTGATTCACAACGACTACGTACATTATTTTGACCCCCGTAATACCACTAAGCTTTAGCTCGTCCCCACTACACTAGGTACCATGGTAGTTCACTTTCTCTCGTGAGGCTGCCCCTGTTGACAAGGCGACAAACCTTTGTCAGGACAAATGACCGACAATCGTGTCCCTATCAACTACCAGACACCGGCGTTCCCATCGCTCTACGATCCCTTTCCGCGACCAAATGCCGCCGTCTACTACTTATACTATACCCGGGACATTTGGCGGTTCACGCTCTACTGGACCCTGATATTCTACCTGGCGAGCCATTTGTCGGTGGCCGCTTGGGCCCTAGCGATGCAAGGCCGAAGCTGGCGCATATGTATTGCTATTCCACTAGTGTACGGTATTATAGCAGGATTAGAGGCGCTTCTAGCTGGGAGTATTATTGGTTTGGTGTAAGTATATATGGGGCTCCAAGAATTATATCCGAACTATGAAGCTAATACGGGTAGTAGTCTGGGTTCCGTTTACGAGGCCGGTAATTTTAGGATGTCGACGTGGATCCCCATGATATGGGGTGGCATCAACATGTTGGTCCTTATTTTATCGAGCTTTCCAATGCAAGGTGGACTGTAATCCGTACGGAGCAGAGGCATACGCTTTCGCACAATGCGCCCTTCATGGGCTTGAGATTTGAAATATGCCTCGGATACTGGCAATGATACACGACGAACGCGATGCACAGTGCATGCGATCTTTAATCTATCGAATGAATCGAAAAGTCCTTCAAACACCGATTTATAATACAGCCGGAGGAATTATGTGATACTCTTCAAACATATGCCGATGCTATCAGAAAACCCAAACAAGCTATCTGCCATTGCGCCAATCGTCCCTAGGCCAACTCAAAACATGCATGTCATCTTCCATAAGGATTGTCGGGTGTATTGCTACCCTGCAAACCAGGGAGGCCTCCGGTACCCGGTAAGGGAGAAAAGTGTTGGGGAGCGAAATTCTGTGGTAGCGGTATGCCCTGTGACATGAGCTGCTTTTGAAGCTCTGCAAAATCAACATTGGCGGGTGGTGTTCCTGAGAGGGCAGGAAGCATGGGAAACCCAGGCAATCCCGTGTTCGGAGGAATACTATTGTGTTGAGGGGGGGCTTGGGTAGACAACAGAGCGGCTAGGCGGTTGGGATCCATCTGAGGCATAGATGAAGGTATACCGGCTGATGGTGCTGGTGGCGGTTGGGGAGCGCCAATGCCTGGTAGTAGTTGCGAGCCTAGCCCATCGTTGTGAGGCGGTCCGCCAGGAGGTGCGATCTGTATTCCAGGAAGACCAGATCCAGTCGGCTTCCTCTGATCAATAAGGCTCTCGGCTTCATCCTGCAATTCCTGTTCTTCCTCCTCGCGCATTTGTCGCCGTCCGAAACCCCTGCTCCAAGTTCCCTGGGCCTCGGCGGCCTCCTCTCCTATGTGGAACCTATCCTTCATGTAGCTAGTCTCTCCCGGTCTTGCTCGAGACCAAAACCGTGTGAAGTTGTCTTTCGAGCCGGATGCAAGTATATGGCCTAGTGGATGCCAATCCAGCGACCAAATAGTAGCGCCATGTGCGTACTGGACCCGGTGGGCAGGGTAGATGACTTGCGCAGGTGTGTTCGCAGGATCCGGACTGTCGTAAGGTGCTATTGTAGGGACCTGTCCAGAGGGCACGTTTGGCTCGTCAAGGAGGTAATGGTACAGCGAACCATCTTCGCTACCCGTCGAGATGAGTGAGCTGTGAATGGGGTGCCATGTTAGAGAAGAAACAGGCTTCTCGTGTCCACGAAGAATACAAATGTCCCGCATCATACGTAGATCGAAAACCCTGGCTGTCTGGTCGCGAGACGATGTTGCGAGAAGGTTTTGATTCACACGCGAAAACCTCGTGGCGGTTACTGTGTTCTTGTGGCTGTGGAGTGTTGTCAAGCATCTTGCCGTGCGGGGATCCCAGAACTTGACTTGGTGGTCTTTCGAACCAGAGACGAGTAGTCCTTTCGTAGGGTGCCAATCACATGATTTGACGTCCCAGTTGTGGCCGGTAAGGACGGTGTCGGCGGTTCTTGAGGTGAAATCAAAGATCTTCAGAGTCGTATCGTCAGAAGCGGAGAGAAATTTCGTATCGCTGGGAGACCACGCAAGATCTCGAACCGCATCATGATGCGCGTCATCAATCGTCTCGACATTGTTAAAATTAGGCCGCCAGTATTTTATATCACCTCTTTGTCCGCCCGAAATTAACCAGTCATGGCTGTGGGACCATGCCAACGAGGTGACTCCAGCTTGCAGTTGGTCGTAATGTGCCTAGCTTCGTGGTCAGAAACGATCCAGGCAAATCGGGCACTGAAATAGATGAGGAAAAAAAGGAAGGTAAAACCATACGTCCATCACAGTCTCGAAGTTGAATGCTGTTCCATTCCATAGCATAAACTCTCCAGTGTGCCCACCCGTCAATAACCGCCTCCCTTCCGGAGTCCATCTTACGACTGTGATCGGCTTCTTTGACTTTCCAATGGATTGGTGTAGGTGCCGTACGGGGATGGTATCCACAGGGGAATGGATTCGTGCTAACGGAGGCAGCATCTGCAAAGAGGGAAGGGAGTTAGTCGACGTCTTTAAAAGCAGGGCATTGCTGTTTACATCAACTATGTAGCTTGCACTTGGCCTTTCTGTCTCCATCCGGTGGCCGCCTTTGTATCTCGGGCGCCGTGTGCGCATCCATTGTACGAGTGACGATCCATAATCGGTGACAAGCCCTATCGAATTGGAAGGCGTTAGCTTTCCACAGTGGTTGAACGATGGAGCAACAAGAACGAACGGGAAAAGAAAAGAGACGGGTATACTAGGGGGAAACAGAATCAAAAGCAATGAAATAAACGTACGTGGTCGCCGTGGTCCGACAATTCCACCCTCATAGGGTTTTTGAGGTCTTCCAAATGGCTGGGAGTCGGCCCCAGAGTCGTCGTAAAATGCCATCACAAGCAAGCTATTTTCGGCTGTAAAGGAAAAGAAGCTCACGGAAGTTTGCGACCATTGACTGGGTAAAAGATAAGCGGAGCGGAACGAATGACAAACAACAACCCCTCAAATGAGGTTACAGGGTTTTCAGCTAGAACGGTCTTTCCATAGCGTGCATGCGGCTGGTAGAGTGGATGGATTCTCGTCGTGAACGTGGTCGATGATTTGAATGGGGAGCAAAAGTAACTTGACTTTGGGCCGAGCGCATGGCGGTGATGATCATTGGCCGCGGGACACTAAGCGGCAGAGCAAGTGATGATTAGCACCAAACGGCTCTCTCAACCCCCGGTCGCCTCAGAGGCCTTTGCTTTAAACACCGTTGCAATGCGTCCTTGCCAGCCCCGCTGCGCTGCTCCTGGCTTGTCTCATTGTTCTCATGCTATAAATACCCTCAATTACCCTGTCATGATCAACTCTTCTCTGGTCCGGCCGCTGGGATTGTTATCCTGTATTCAAAGCTGTCCCCGCAATTGACCTCATATTCAATCAACCCTGTCGTTTCCACGCGGCTTCACCAACCCTTTCGTGGTTTTATTTTTATTTTTGGATTTCGGTCATCCTGTGATCATTGTGGATTGCTGCCGGGTTCCTCCAAGATTATATGAAGATGGCCGTTACAGATAAGGCATCTGCGTCAAGCAGCGATGTTAATATCCGCGGCGCGGCTTCGTCCTCATCTTCGAAAGTCATCAACGGCTCTTCTCACACCAAAACTTCGCTTCCCACGGGTGAGGCTAGCGAAGTGCCCAAGGGGAAAAGGAGAAGCAAGTATCGGCATGTGGCAGCCTACCATTCAAAGTCGCAACACTCAAGCCTAAGCCGAGAATCCAATGTTCCGACTAGTTTCCTCGGGTTCCGGAACCTGATGGTGATTGTCCTGGGTACGATGTTTTTCTTCAAGGTAACTTGGCGATCTGAAGCTGATATTCCCCCTTGGATTAGTGGCGATGAATCTCCGTTTAATTATCGAGAATTCTATGAAAGTAAGTGGTATCGTAGAACTAAGTATTTATTGTGGACAGAGCTGAACGTTTTATCGCATAGTATGGTGTCCTCATCTGCATTAGATGCCATGACTACCGGAAACAAGATGTCGTCCTTGGCTCAATGCTCTTTGTCATTGTTCCTTGTCAGCTGTTTATTGCATACATACTAGAATTGGCTGTAGCAGGGAGGGTCAAAGAGACTGTTGGCCGAAAGAAGAAAGACAAATCAGCTGAGGAGGGCGAACGTGAACAACGCGAATTCCGGACGATTTGGCGGTTCGCCCTATCATTTCATATCCTCAACACCTTGCTGAATCTTGCGGTGACGAGCTATGTCGTTTATTATTACATCCATCATCCGGGGATCGGGACGCTCTGCGAAGTTCATGCCATCATTGTAGCGCTCAAAAATTGGTCCTACGCGTTCACCAATCGTGATCTTCGCGAAGCGATGCTTAATCCATCCGCGGAGTCCGCCCTTCCCGAGATCTACTCTTCATGCCCTTATCCACGGAACATTACACTTGGGAACTTGGTGTACTTTTGGTTGGCACCTACGCTGGTTTATCAGCCGGTTTACCCCAGGTCACCCAAAATCCGATGGTGGTTTGTGGGCAAGCGCATGTTCGAGTTTGTAAGCTTGTCGATATTCATATGGCTTCTCTCAGCCCAGTACGCTGCCCCTGTCCTGCGAAATTCTATTGACAAGATCGCTGTCATGGACATTGCTTCCATTTTTGAGCGCGTGATGAAGCTATCTACCATCTCCCTTATTATTTGGCTCGCTGGGTTCTTTGCTCTTTTCCAATCATTCTTGAATGCCCTGGCTGAAGTGCTGCGGTTTGGAGACCGAGAGTTCTATCTCGACTGGTGGAACAGCTCCAGTCTTGGTATGTACTGGCGATCTTGGAACAGGCCGGTCTATCTCTTCATGAAGAGGCATGTGTATTCGCCTCTAATTGGGCGGGGGTACAGTCCTTTGATGGCAAGCACTGTTGTCTTTCTAGTTTCGGCTCTTCTGCACGAACTGCTTGTGGGGATCCCTACGCATAATATGATAGGTACGGAGAATCGCGCATGCCCTGTGAATGATTGTTCCAAGCTAACCGATAACAAGGTGTCGCCCTCGTAGGAATGTTGTTCCAACTCCCGCTGATCGCCGCCACCGCCCCATTAGAAAAGATGAAAGATCCTTCGGGGAAAGTAATTGGGAACTCAATATTTTGGGTTAGCTTTTGCGTGGTTGGACAGCCGTTGGGGGCACTGCTGTATTTCTTCGCTTGGCAGGCGAAGTATGGCAGCGTCAGCAAAATGACTCAGGGATGATCTTATCTTATAGTACACATGTATAACAATGATAGATGAAATGCTCAGTCACCCACCGTTTCTCAAATAGCCAGAGTAGTTATCATCCCTTAGCGAATTGTTCTCGGAATCTCTCGGCAGAGTGTGACGGGAAAGTACACGTATCTCGTATAGATGCCTTCGTTTGTAATGTACTTTAATTGGTTGTCAATCTGTAACTGAGAGCCAATGTTATAGATCACCTCGTGTTGTAGAGCCTACGAAGAACAGCCCCAAGTGATTAGTGAGCAATGTGAAATACGGCTGTCGGTGCGTCGGGACTCCGGATGGAACTCAACTCTTCCGAGGTTTCCTGACGTCAAAGAAATCGACAGTATTTGTATTTCTAGATCCCACGGCACCACAAGAAGCACCCAAACGATCAATCCACAGTCTGTAATATTTAGTTTACTCTTCATAATGGTCGCGATAATCGTCCCCGACAACTACGGGTAAATTTATCCCCCATCCAGACAGCACCAAGACCAATGATCTTTTGACTAACTGTGAGCGTCCAGTGCCGTTATTGGCGTCGCGCTTGGAGCTATTCCTGTGCTCAGCTTTATCCATGGAACTGTTGTGACAAGCAATCGCAAGGAAGCCAAGGTCCCCTACCCTCACACCTATGCGACTATCGAACAGTGCAAGTCGAATGTGAGACCTCCACTCTCCCTCAGCGTCCTACTTACCACGACTTTTGGAATAAATTGTCGTAGACATAAGCAACCTCGATATGAGCTAACAGAATATGCCCCGGCAGGCTAAAGCCGAACAATTCAACTGCGCTCAGCGCGCACACGCCAACTTCCTGGAAAATGCTCCCCAGACCATGCTCTTTACTCTCGTTGCGGGTCTGAAATACCCCCTGCTGGCTACGGCTCTTGGCGCCGTCTGGCTCGTGGCTCGCTCGCTCTTCTTGTACGGCTACGTGTACTCGGGCAAGCCGCAGGGTAAGGGAAGGTTTCTTGGAGGATTTTTCTGGTTGGTGCAGGGTGCTTTGTGGGGGCTGAGTGTATTCGGCGTTGGAAGGGATTTAATCTCTTTCTGAAGACAAACTATTTCCAAGTGACGGATTCATCGCGATTTTGGACAATTTTGTACTTGTTTACTCTTGGTAAAATAGGTCTCGAAACTTGCCATTGTATATCTTAAGCAAATTAAAGAGAATTTTAAAATCTCGGAAGACACGACTGACTATATGTTGATAATCTGTCGAAGTTATATCCATCGCAACTCTGAAAACAATCCTTACGATATATAATCTAGTTCTCTTATGGATTCCTGACTCTAATAAATTATATAGCTCTTGTTACATCTTCAACCTTAGTGGTATCTAATATATCTTAGTTTTCATCCAAATCTCCTATTCTTCCTATGCCCTGGTAATCTGAGCCACCGCGAAGTTAGATGTCTTAGGGCTTGGTAAGGGAGCCTCGAGGTAGCTCTCGAGAAACTCAGCAGTAAATCTGATTATCAAGTATCCGCTTGGTACACTTGTGGGATAAGTGCGATAGTGCTACCTAAGAATGGTCTATATCTACGAAAGATGAAGGGCTCACTACTCATCATGTAGGGCAATGACATTGAAGCTACTACCAGCGCAGTACGAGTAGTTCCGATCTAAACATGGCAGAAAGTTGCACGGGATAGCGCTGAGGTTATCCAATCCGGTAAATGACAGGGGTACCCTAGTCGATTTCTTTATATATAAACGCCACCGCAGCTACTAAAGCAGCCCACTTCCTGAGCTACCGTATCCCTTTCTTTAAAGCTCTTGCGGCCCACAGTAACGCATGTGATTCTATCAAGTTACCGAGATGGTAATGGTTCACATGTAACTTCATTTTTCGTTAGCTGGATCTCTACATTGCCTAGTGCTCTGCTTTACCCCAAGTGATAATGCGATTCGGACTAAATTACCATCAATACCAGGTGCCGGAGTGGGCGCCATATTATGTGCCTTATCCCTTACTGAAAAGGCTGTTGAAGACGGCTATCAGAACAGTCGACTGCACAGAAAAGCAACCGGATTTTACAGGTCCGTTACTATCATCTGTTCCCTAGGAGCATTATTAACATTTGCTGAAGACGCATATAACTATCTTAAATGTAGTATCCATTCCTTCAGCCAGTTTCATCACGAGAACTATGATCTCCTGAGGCAAAGGGGCGAGGAGCTTCTCAAAAGATTGGCTCCTGAAACAGACACTTTGATAAGAACAGGAGACTCAAACTGCTACGAGCTAGAGAACATCCTCAAAGCAGTGCTAGAGCTTCGTAAGGATTCAGAAAAGTTGCAATGGTTTTATCGAGTCAACAAAGAAGCAATCCGGAGGGTATATGCTAAGCTCGAGAAGCTTTACAGCTCGACCGGGCGGACTCATGGAAGCCATAAAGTGGAGTGGATCAAGTTGGAGGCTGATCGGGATGCATCATGGTTGAAGCATGCCGGAAGTCTGAACAAACTGATGGAGAGCTTCATCCAAATCCGCTCTGATATGAAGCTCCATTCAAACACCAAAGCTTGTCTGGAAGATGTCTTCAGTCACAGTTCCATTCTCAATGGCCCAGTCAGAGCTTTGAACCGCGCTGTGATAGATGATGATGTCCCAGAATTATCCAAAGTGCTAGAACAGACGTACACGTGTAACGCCACAACGAGACCGCGCTTCCAGGAAATTGTCCGTGATTTAACAAGGCGCTCAGTGGTCTGTCGTTCTAAGCGGGCTGCCACCTTTTTGCTCTCAGAAGGATTTCCCCGATATCATATTACGCTAGACCACAAGATATTGAACCAAATGATCATAATTCTTGGTCAACAACAAACTTCTGAAGAGCACACTACATCAAGGATGTGCTCTCAATGCAGCTCTAAATACCCTTGTGGTAAGCCCGAGAGTAACTTGTTCTCCTTGGCCGTTGAGCAACTTGCGCTCAGCGGAAAGGGCATTTTTATTGGAACAGGATGTTTTTGGGCGTCTTCCACTCCATTACGGTGCAATTTACGGCTTGCCAGGTATCTGTGAATTAATATTGGACTTGTCTCAAAAGTCAGGTCAGGAGTACCCCGCACGCCTCATCATGTCGTTGGACTCTCAACGATATACGCCACTGCACTACGCAGTGATCAACAACCATGCACTGGTCACAAAGGTTTTCCTAAAAGCTTTCGAGCCAATGAAGCCAACAAGTGACGAAGCAAGGAACTACGACTTAATCAATATTCTAAATGATCTTCTTGTCATTGCAATCAAATATCAATATGATGACATAGTCCGCCTGTTTGCCAAGTTTTCCCAATATTTTCATGGAAAACCTAGTCATGGAGAGACAGCTCTTTATGTTGCGGCTCGCAGTGGAAATGAAGGGTATGTGGATATACTCCTTAAGCATGGTAGGTGCCCAGATCTTGATATCCCAGAGACTGTGCATGGATGGACTCCTTTATTCATTGCATGCGTGGAGGGTCACCACGCCGTGGCCAAACTTCTCTTGAATGCGGCAGCAAAACAGGACATTCGTGATTATTCCGGGTGGACTGCTAAAGAGCATGCCGCAGTAAGAGGCCATCTAGCTTTAGCTGGGATGCTCACTTCATTGGGTACTGAGGATCCTCTCGGTGGGCCTGCTAGCACACTTAAACAGCCAATTTGTCAAACCACTATCCCGTTTAGAACTGATTGTCACTGCCTGGTCATCAATTTGGGTGTTTTACAAACTGGAAAAAAGGTAAAGGCTGTTGAACTGAGAGATCACACTCCGAAGGAGCTAATCTTTATGAATGCTGGCTTCTTGATGGAAATTTCAATCTCGGAGAGGGAAAGCGTAAGCCAGCTTATAGAACTACCTATATTGACTGATATGACCAACGAACCTTTTGTTTTTCCAGTTACAGATCCAGACAGAGCCTGGATATCCTTCAAGTTATTCCACGCTAGCTCTACACTGACAAAGGAGCGTAGTCTTTGGGGGGGTGGTACGGCTTTGATAGGAAGCCCCAGCGATTATTTTGGGGAAAACCGTGAAAGCCTTACCCGAGAACGTACCGTTCCTATACTTGAGAAAGATACACTTGATATTCTGGGGAATGTCACTTTTACTTTCGTTGTCTGTAAACCAATATCCCACCGTGCGGGTCCCTTGGTCAGGCCTCCCGTCACTGAAGAAGGCGTACAGCTAGTTGGTCATAGAGGTATGTGCTATATTATTACTTCCTCCTCTATAGCAGACCAGTAACGTGTAGTCAGGACTTGGACAAAACACAGCCAGCCGCAGCTATCTCCAGATAGGAGAAAATACTATAGAGGTACGCAACACTTTTAGAACCTGTGAAACCAAATACTTACCTACCTAACATGGGATATAGTCATTTCTTTTGGCTTCAAAGCAAGGCGCCACAGTTGTTGAGGTAAGAGGATGACTTGCTAAAATGTGAAGCGAACGCGACTAATAGCTATGGTAGTTTGGTAATACAATATCTCACTAATCGTGCCTTGCGTGTGTACTAAAGTTTATTCAGATGTACAGTTAACAAGGGATCTCGTGCCTGTCATATACCATGACTTTTCTCTGAGCGAGTCAGGAACCGATATATCTATTCATGACTTAAATCTTGATCAGGTTAGTATCCCTAGGCTTAATTTGAACTGATTCTCACCCGTCGAAGTTCATGCACGCAAGCAATATCCAGTCGCCACGAGGAGATCCAGTATCTGTACTTGGAGAAGCGAATGCACCGCCTATGACCACCCAGAATATCTCGGCTAAGCGACGATCTCGATCATTAACTAAAGGGCACGAGAGTGGAACTAGGGAAATTCGTGATAGAATGAAGTATACAGTAGACTTTCTCAACAAGGGATTCAAGCCTAATACCAGAGGTGATTTTATCCAAGACTCTTTCACGACACTGGGAGAACTTCTTGAAGAGCTGCCTGAGTCAATCAGCTTCAATATCGAGATAAGTATGTTAAATGATGTCACCAATGGTTCTCGATTCGTGAGAGGTGAGACTAATAGCATCCAAATGAAGAGTACCCCAGGCTTCATGAAGCGGTAGATGCAGGTGTAGCACCCGTGGCCATTGAAATTAACACCTTCATCGACAAAGCGCTTGAGAAACTCTTGTCTTATGGCAACCAGAAACGGGCCATTATACTATCCTCATTTACCCCCGAGATATGCATGTTATTGGCCATCAAACAACAGACGTACCCTGTGATGTTCATCACTAATGCCGGCAAACCTCCGGTTACGGATCGAGAAATGAGGGCCGCCAGCATACAGTCCGCCGTTCGATTTGCCAAGAGGTGGAATTTATCTGGTCTTGTCTTTGCGTCCGAGGCGCTGGTAATGTGTCCTAGGCTTGTCAGATATGTTCAACGATCAGGGTTGATCTGTGGATCCTATGGATCTCAGAACAATACACCAGAGAATGCGAAGGTAAGTGTATCCAAGCTAATTCCAGTGCCTTCAAATTGCGATATGGAAATTGCTTAATAGCTGATAAAACATTGCAGGCCCAAGCCGCTGCTGGTATTGATATTATTATGGCCGATAGAGTTGGGCTTATTGCTTTGTCCCTAAAAGGATATAAAAAGCAAGCATAAAATGCCAGGCATGGCCACCAAGCTCCACGACGAATCGACTGTCTTGTTATAGATTAGTTGCATGTCATATAGATATGAATTTCGCAGATAGCTGCTGTATGATAGAGGGTGAGGTCTCAGATGGTTTAAACTGTAGCAGCTCCTTAGTTAGGCTAGTTTATGATTTTTGAATTAATATGGGAATCTACGACAATTCTGTATCTTTGCGTCGAGTGATCCCCCGCGCGGACGGTACCCTAAGGATAGGCCCTAATCTTATCTGCATGTGACTACGCTGATGTGTTTGGTCCAGATGAGGCATGTGGCTCACCCCACAGGCGGCGGAATGTGTGGCTAGTGCATGGCGCCCCTCCATACGGAGTAGATCCATTTTAATTTTTCGCGGCGATTATCGTACAGTCTGTATTTACCGTTCATTCCACAATTTGAGTTAGTCATTAGAAGTCCTGATTATTTCATCTGCTTACTGAAACCTTGAAGTACTAGTCTGTTGAATACGCCAGTTCCAGCCACTAAGTGCTCATTTATACAATAGCTGCAGAACCCCGCGCTACCCCTCCATCGCCAATATGTCTTCCAAGTCGCAATTGACCTACAGCGCACGCGCTAGCAAGCATCCCAATGCCCTCGTAAAGAAGCTCTTCGAGGTTGCCGAGGCCAAGAAAACCAATGTCACCGTTTCGGCCGACGTGACCACCACCAAAGAGCTGCTGGATTTGGCTGACCGTATGCGCACCGGGGATGCCACTTTCATATGATCTAGTAATGGTTAATGGTGGAATGCATAACAGGACTCGGCCCGTACATTGCCGTGATCAAGACTCACATCGATATCCTTTCGGACTTCAGCGAAGAAACCATCACCGGTCTGAAGGCCCTTGCGGAGAAGCACAATTTCCTCATCTTCGAAGATCGCAAGTTCATCGACATCGGTAACACAGTCCAGAAGCAGTACCATGGTGGCACTCTGCGCATCTCCGAGTGGGCCCACATCATCAACTGCAGTATTCTGCCTGGTGAGGGTATCGTCGAGGCTCTGGCCCAGACTGCATCGGCCGAGGACTTCCCCTACGGCTCCGAGAGGGGCCTTTTGATCCTTGCGGAGATGACGTCCAAGGGATCTTTGGCTACCGGCCAATATACTACTTCTTCGGTTGACTATGCTCGGAAGTATAAGAAGTTTGTGATGGGATTCGTCTCGACTCGTCACCTGGGCGAGGTTCAGTCTGAAGTTAGCTCGCCTTCGGAGGATGAGGACTTCGTCGTCTTCACGACAGGTGTCAACCTCTCCTCGAAGGGAGACAAGCTGGGACAGCAGTATCAGACTCCTGAGTCGGCTGTTGGACGCGGTGCCGACTTTATCATTGCTGGCCGAGGAATTTATGCTGCTGCTGATCCCGTGGAGGCGGCGCAGCGGTACCAGAAGGAGGGATGGGCTGCATACCTGAAGCGTGTTGGTGCGCAATAAAGAGGGTGCAGCTGATACGTGGTCCTTAAATGGCAATATGTCACAAGTATGATGCGAATAATAAATTCAACACTGGAAATAACCGCTATGTATCTAGGACAGACCGATGCTAAGAGATACCCTCTCCCTATGAATAAGACGCCTGCCTCGATATATGGACAAATCCAAGGTCAGAGTCAGGAAGGGTCGTTTTATCAATCACAACTTCTTCTAGTATAGATGAGAGTTTGTACCGGTGTGTCTAAAGGCTATCCTACGTAATCATTGTCTGGACCACCCCTTACGGTAATAGGTTGCAATCGGTTTAAACAAGGGCTAAGTACTAGTACTAGTAGTAGTGGATCCGCTCTGGTCGAATATCTTGTAGTTGCCCACAATTCATAGGCGGGTTCAAAGGCAGTTGATATATAATTGGTACTTCACTTACTCGCCTCATATTAAATTTTGTAAAAGCCTCTCAAAATGGGCAGGCCACAGGAAGGAAGCATCAACTAATTGTGCACACATCCACCTAAATTACAGTAAAGGGGTTCAGAGGTGGACTCACATAGCCTGAAAGTTCGCACTTTGCGCAGCCCATAGATACTTGTAGCTCAGACCCGGTTTTCCCTGAAGGTGCTACTGAAGGGTAGTTTATTTTGTTAGAGTGGGGTATCATTAATGTACAGTCGGCCACTATCGTACAAACTATCACAATTACATAGTACAAGATTTCCCATCACCTCCTAGTCCAACATGACCCGGCTGTCCATCGAGTCAGAGCGTAGCCACCATTTGGCGCTTTCGTAGAGACCAAAGTATAATCCTGACCCGATAGCTGCCATAAATGTGTTTACCGCGCACCCTCGGAATAGGCCCCTTGGGCCATCTGTTCGTATAATCTCCCGTACGGCATTGATCATCCTTTTCTTCTGCGGCGCGGTTGTGTCTGCAGCATCGAGCATGATTCGTGTCCGGACCATATCCATGGGTGCTGTTAGGACGCTGGCTATACATCCTGACACTGCAGCACTTATCGCGGCTGTACCAGCAGCCTCTCCAATTGTCAAATGGGCCTGTTTCCTTCCATAATCTCTTAGTCTTTCTGAACCCTCCTCTCGGGCTCCGAATCTATATTCAAAAATACGACACCGAAGAGCTTCGTACAGAGGCATCTGAATCGCCGACATTGGCAAACTATGCGCTACAAGAGCAGGATATCCGTTCCAAAGCTGTTTAGGGTTGATAAACTTCTTGAAAGCCAGCCGTGTTGCTTTCTGGGCTACCCCACCTACGCGTGGTGATGCATCTGGTTGATGTGATTGGATCATCTGTGCGTTGTGTTTCAATGCATCGGCCGGGGCAAAGACTGCACAAGCAGCAAGATCCGCAACGGAGGCTGCACAAAAATCGGAAAAGAGCCGAGCCGAGCTAGACTCATGCGTCCCAAGCCTTTGATGTATGAGTTGGAGCCCTGACTGTGCGTACTCGTACGTGATGAAGAATGCACCAGCTTTTGACCCGTTAATCTTTTGCTCCTTGGATAGGGTTTGGGTAGGAGGGATGTTGAGGAGCACCAACCTGTGGGGAAAGAGGCAGCGGTTACGCTTGCGATGCCTTGGTAAAGGCCGCGGAATATCTCAGGGTGTCTCCATATGCTGGTTCCTGTGTTGGCTCTCAGGAACTGCGAATATTCGCGAGACTGGATGCGGGTTTTGATCGTATCCAAGGGATGAATGAATAGATCTAGTGAAAGGGATGCGGCTGTGCTTGCCTAGTTCCCCAAGTTAATATATGCTGTCTGTCCAAGGAGGTAAGGATATATTTACCAGTAATATACTCAGTGGCTCGGCGGACATATTGGCTGCCGTGAGGATGTTCAATCGTTGAATTTACTTGTTCCTGTGTTGGCAGACATCACCTTATGCGGCTTTAAAGGCTCTTACACTCTGAGACAGGTCACAGTCAGGTGCCATATAAGATTATAGCAACGTAGGGGAAACGAGAAGTGATGCCAGGCCGCGAAGCTTTTTCAGTATTGGATGAGTTTATTCCGGGCTCCGCGGGAACCGTCCCGAGGACTTTTTCCAACAATATAACAATATCATCACTGGACATCTTTCACGTTGGTCTTTGCTGACCGATTGAAACATATCGATTTCTGTCGTAGAGGTATATATACATCCGATGTAAATAGTATAAGCATCAAAGCTGTCGGGTTCTTAGCGGGGGTAGTGAACACGTGCTCATAAATCATTGATAACTTGATAACTGCATCGTAGTGGTCTGTTATCGATAAAGCTCATTTACGGGGAAAGACATACTCCGGAAAGGTCCACTGCAATCACTTTAGTAAGTGGATGTCAGGATGATAAGGAGATATTGATCTGGAGATATGAATATCCCAGTTTAGCTGATAAGCTTAAAATGTTGAAGATAGTACAAATAATTTCAGGGGCAAAAGAAGAAACCATATACTAGTTAGAACTAACTAACTATGATGTCAGGTTAGTAATCTCCCCATGTTTGTCGGCTCTAAAATTGAAAGCCGACGTGCTTAGCCTCGTGGACAAAGTACGAGGTAGTATTTACTAGTATTTACTCTTCCCTATCTCGGTGACTTCTCTCCTCCGCTTGGCAGATGCAGATCGACAAACCAGTGAGACTGGAGAGAGTAAGCTCTCTTGGCAACGGAATTGCCCGCCAGATAAGTGAGGGGACACACTGGGGTGGTTGTCTTATCATCCCATTCATTCAGCTACTGGTCTTTCTCCTCGTGATTGAATGGAGATACTACTCGGCTGTCTGATCCAATGGATCAACCGTCCCGTCGCCTATCCTTTCCACCGGATCCCTTTTGCTTGTTCCTTCTCCTCTTTCCCCCTCATCTCTGATGCTCCAACGTACGGAACTCACGCGGAACCGAACCCGCTGTGCTTGCGTGGGATTGGCCATGGACGATAAGCTTGCCGTCATAGGGAACGCGCTACGACTAGTCGTTGGCGTACCCCAGATAATCGGCGGCTTATCTGTGGATGGCGGTTGTGCCGATGAAGTCTAATCTGCCAGCTCAGATAACAATCGTTTCATTCTCTAGTGCCACGACCCCCGCGGATGAGGAGGTGGGCGCACATATGTAACCTGGCGATGTCCTCTGTGGTCTCGTCCTCCCTCTTATTCCTTCCCACACCAAAGTATTAGAGGGGGGAAAAATGGCAGACGAGAAGACTTCCCCGCCTGTCACCGTCGATGTGGAGAAAGACGTCAAGGGGCACATCGATCCAGAGCTTAAAGAACATGCCCAGGATGCAGACGAGGCATTGAAAGCCTTTCAGGAACTCCATGGCGAAGCTATCGAGCTCGATGCCGCAACAAATAAGCGACTTTTACGAATCATTGACTGGCATATGATGCCGATCATGTGTTTTGTCTATGGAATGAACTATTTGGACAGTATGTGGTTCGTCGCCTCTAGCCTCGGCATTCATTACTTAACCCTACACAGAAACGACTCTATCCTACGCCAGTGTCATGGGTCTCAAGCCGGATCTGAACCTGAAAGGCGACGAATATCAATGGCTGGGCAGTTTATTTTATTTCGGTTCGTCAAACAATGGCCCCATAATGGAAACATACTACCAATTAGACTGACACGGCTTGAAATTCAGGATATCTGGCATGGGAATACCCCACCAACCGATTGCTTCAGCGCCTCCCCTTGGGTAAATACTCTGCGGCTTGCATCATCATTTGGGGTGCCATTCTTTGTTGTTTCGCTGCTGTCAGCAACTATTCCGGGGCCATCGCTATTCGGTGAGACCACACCCTGCTACAATCGTCAACAATGGCTGACAATCCCTGTTTAGTTTCTTCCTTGGTGTCTTCGAAGCCTCTGTTACACCAGGCTTTGCTCTTTTGACCTCGCAGGTGCGTTTCAGGCCCCTACATACGATAATAATCTCTGACATCTCTCGCATAGTGGTACACCAAGAGTGAACAAGGTAGCCGTGTCAACATCTGGTTCAGCTTCAATGGCTGGGGCCAGATCCTAGGCGGCTTTGTGGCATATGGTATCGCAGTTGGCACAGAAAGGCATGGCTCAGCCATCGCGCCGTGGAAGATTGTCTTCCTTTGCACGGGCCTCTTAACCGTTGTGCTTGGTGTTATATTCCTCTGGATAGTCCCGGATAACCAGCTGAACGCCCGCTGGCTAAAACAAGAGGACCGTGTTCTCGCCGTCGCTCGTGTCAGGGAAAACCAGCAGGGTATCGGAAACAAGCACTTCAAGCTCTACCAGGTCAAGGAAGCACTCCGAGACCCCATGACTTGGGCTTTCTTCTTCTTTGCGCTCATCGCCAATATTCCAAACGGTGGTATTTCAAACTTTTTCAACCAGTTGGTGAGTGCCCCCTTTTGTACTGGACTAAGACTCCGTGACTAATTAAATTATCACCAGATTACTAGCTTTGGCTACACTGCCCAACAAAGTCTCCTGTATGGTACTCCCGGCGGTGCGGTTGAGGTTGTCGCCCTAGTTCTCAACGGTTACGCCGGCCAATACACGGGCCAGCGACTACTTTGCAGCACCGGCGGCCTAATCACTGCCATAGTGGGCATGATCCTCATCGTTGCTCTCCCCCTATCAAACAACGTCGGACGTCTGATCGGCTACTACATGACCCAAGCAAGCCCGACCCCATTCGTGGCCTTGCTCTCGATGGTCTCCTCCAACGTCGCCGGTTATACCAAGAAGACCACCGTCGCTGCACTATTTTTAATTGGCTACTGTGCCGGAAATATCATCGGTATGTCTGTATCGTTATGGCCTAAATACGAGCAGAAATTAACAGCATCTTCTGTATAGGCCCTCAAGTCTTCCGCCCCAAAGATGCCCCTCGCTATGTTCCCGCCGAGATTACGATCATTGTCTGCTGGGGCGTCTGTTTAATTCTTATGTCCTTCATCTGGTGGTGGTATAGCAGACAAAATGCTAAGAAGGCCCAGATCACGGAGAGCCCGGGGTACGTGCGACTGGAGAACCAAGAGTGAGTGTCATCCCTATCTTATCTTTATCATGAAGTATAGGTTGCTAACGGGGTCTAGATGGTTGGATCTGACTGACTGGGAGAACCATGAGCTTCTTTATTCGTTGTAGATCCTCTTTTTCATGTTTATGACCTTCATCAGCGACCAGTCTATAAATCTCTCGAAACAGTGAATATTGCTTCATTCATATTATCCCATATGACCTGACTTTAAGGACTCCCAGTATCCCAACTATTTTCTATAGAGCCTGTTAGAAGGTCCACTTGGTATCTCTGCATACGTATACTAGACAAAAGCTCAATTGAAGAATTGACTATGGCATCCACTCCTCCAAAAGCACCAGTTTCTCCAAGCCTGAGGGTACCTAACTAACCCCTGCTATAAAGACCAAGGGCTAGACAATAAGCCATTCGGATATACTCGATCCATGTCAATCAAATCTATTTTCAAGTCCTCTACATCCTCAACGCCGACACTCAACGGAAATCAAATCATCGTAGGTCCCACTCTCTTCGCGAACTTCCTTCGACATCCCATTATGCGTCATAGCAGCAGGTGTTTTGTAACAAAGCGAGACTCTTATAGATACTCGGGTCATGAAGTGCTATCACGAGTACACCCTAAATACTTATGTTAACCCATGCACTTTGCCCGTGCGTAAGAAATCAAATTTTGAATTTGTTACTTGCACTCTGCCCCGTTAGTGTACTTGGTCACTGAATGCAAAACAATATCGGCCCCCCCCCCCCCCCACCCCAAATGTCACAGCGGATTTTGGATCTATTGGGACAAGAACGTATTGTCCACTATAAGAAATGAGCCCTTGCTACCTGTACGTTCCGTCGCAAAGACTCGCCGTGCAGATAGTATGGGAGCTGGACGCTAGCCCTTGGATAATGGCTCCTATGGTAGCCATGACAGATGAGAATGCTAGTCCAGCTTGGCGATTAGTCTTCTCGGTTAGGGTTTGCCGAGCGCGAATAGACATATGCGTCTCTAGGCGACGCGACGTGCTCTTGAGAAGATGTAGGAGGGAGATCTATTACTATTAGCATCATTTACAAACAACTGGGTGAAGGGGGAAATAGGGATTACTGGCTCGACTAGGGCTCCTATAGTAGCATCGCTGGGCAAACCAGATGGCACAGGTAGAGTTCCAAAACTGGTCATTTTGCCATATATTTAACGGATTCCTTGTATTCAGTTCTATTGTATATATGATCTTTAGATATGGCAAAGCTATCAAGAGTGCGAGTAAGGAGCTGGTCAAGCTCAAAAGAGAAACTCGTAAGGTGCAGCGAATGGTGAGAAAAGCATCATAATTTCCTGCCTAATGTAAGCCTGAGGTGCGGATGGCACAGACACAGAGAATCCAGCATGTGTATATCGTAGTATGGGAAATTTGAATTACGAGATCATTTTCTCCGCAGAGTCATGTACATCCTTGATGTGCTTCTCCCTCAGCGGAGAATAATAGGTATGTCACCGGCCTAAACTGCCACTTGTTGAATAGAGCTGGGACATAGCAAGGAATAGGGCCAAACCGTAGTACTTATTCAATCATAACATTTTTGTATATACATTGAGAAGATCCGCCCCCTTTTCGTCTCATTTAGCCGTGTAGGCTTCACGGACAGCATTCGCCTTGCTCTCACTTGTCCTCTTAAGTCCGTCGTCTCCTTCACCCGAATCAATCCCAGTCCCATCCGCGAGCAGATCCTAGCGCACTCCATGTAAACCCCAAAGTGGTCCTGGAACATTCGGGCCGTCATACGCAGAAAATTTAAGGCATCGAAAGAGATATGTGGAAGGCGGTTGTTATCCCCCAAGAAAGCGTGAAGTGGCAAGAGAAAAAAGCAATTTCACTCTTCTTGTCTTTGTCAGTAACATTAGCCGGGTTGATCCACACGACAAAGCATCGAAGAGGCTTGCTTACCTGTTGGCAAAGGCGAGATGCCACCATCCTCCGCTATCCACAGATCCTGTCAGTCTTTGTTTCTGAGAAGAGGGGGGGATCCTACATCAAAGACCTATTTTCGAGCCGGTTTCATCACCAAGTCAGTACATCAACCAAACAAGATCGGACAAAGGCATAGCTCACTCGAATTTGAAGATAGAAAAGATTCGTTATCAGACAGCACATAACTGCCTGATAACCCAGGCCCATCCCAACCACCCAACCAAGGGCCCGTATATGAAGACATATCCGGTTTGGAGTACCCTGTTGATTTGTGTCAGTGTATTTTTTTTTCAGTATTTATTTGATGTGAGTAGGTATTTTTCTGTTCTTGTTCTTGCTTCTGTTTTGCTTTTTCTTAGCTGCTGTTTGCTCTGCTCTTTCCCCACCCTGCCACGACCCGGTACTCTAGAAGAAAGATTGTTTGATAGAAGGAAGGATGTATATACAGGAAAAGGGAAAAATAAAGTTGAGAAGAAGAGAAGACAAGAATATATCAAAAGATGGGCAAACAGGCAACTGAGAGAACAGGATCCAGAGATAGAAGATCGAAACGAAGAACAAGCTAATAGAAAGAAGGAAATAAGAAGAGGTGTGTTGGGCAGCCTGGTCTAGATGGGTAAGTTGAAGGAGTGTTATGAAGAAGAAGAAAGAAAGAAAGAAAGAGAGGGAACTTTGGGCGGGGGGAGGAAGTATTTATGCCCCAGGCTACCTGGCCGCTACTTCCCTAGCGAGACATGGGAGAACATTGTTGGTACCTGATTGGGAAGGCGATTGCATTCACTGTTTATACCTGCCTGGTTGCCTGGTCAGGCCTTCGTCGAAATACCGATTCACTCATCGTAGGAACGTCATGTTGCGCGAATCCTGCTTTTTCGGCCGAGGGAGACAGTTCTGGTAGTAATTCACTTACCCAAAAGGTATTTGCGATTGGGCGGAAACTATGTCAAGATTAGTGAATGAAAATCTGCCTTTGAAAGACTGGCGGATGGACTATAGCCTTTGTTTGAGGTCTATGCCCAGAGAGCAGGTTTGATGCGGCGAGGTTGTTGTCTAATAGCCAGGCCTCTAACTCTCTCCTTCTATACGGCATACGACTGCCATGGAGATTCTTCCTATCGAGATCAAGCGGCACATCTGTCACCTTGTATGTGATTCCTTTGGTCACCTTAATAATTGTGGAATTCCACTAAAGAGCTCTAGGATACAGCCGACCCTTTTAGGTACTGTGGCCCGCCTTAACCTGACAAGTCGAAGCTGGTACCATGCAACGGTTCCTATACTCTATAAAACTCTCAGAGTTAGGTTTCGAGACAGTGCTAGTCTTCAACAAGTCGTCTTAGAGCTGAAGGAGGGTGGCTGCGGGCGACTCTTTCTGAAGCATGCTCGAGGGTTAGATATAGTTTGCTTTTGGGATTACCTCGACAAGCCATGGCTTCTCCCAAATTCAAATTATCGGAGTATGGAGCTTGGGAGAAAACATTGCTGAAACTGGCCAGTGCCGTCGATCTTTCTCGGCTTCGGTCGCTGGATATAGCTGTTCACTCAAATACAATATTGTTAAGGCAGGCGGCCCCAATCTTGATAGGTCTGGAAGGACTGTTCTTGCCAATGGATCTATGGAAGGTGCGTGATGCAGGCATATCTGCAGATGACGAAGATATGATAGCCGCAGTGCAGGCTTTCAATCCGTTAAAATATTTATGATCACGAAATTTGCGAAGAAGAGTGTCTCTTCATCGTATTCTTGTCCAGCATGGCCGCTCGCTGAAAGGCCCCACGATCGAACCATGGGATATTAACCATAAAGACCCCTGTCTGTATACTCGATACACATATCTGCTTCTTGACAGTCATGACACCACTGAACTGTCAGGTAGTTGTCCACATTTTCAAGAGCTTCGGCTTCCAGTCAAGAGCAACAGAGCCCGCCCGCCAGAGTGCGGCATATACAAGGCGATGGGTCAATTCCCACAGATTCATACCGTGGTCATAAATCTAGGTTGCTATCACTCGTCAGACTCCCTCAGCAGAGGGAATGGCTGGGCTGCACTTCTAAGAGAGACGTTGATCAATGCTGCAACTGATGAAGACCTTGCTAGAGGGATCTGGAGTCTTATCGTCTCGAAACAATCTACTCAGACATTAAGGCGTTTACGCATTATACCTTTTGGCGCAGGTGTCTATGAAGCAGCGGAGGGAGATGCCATCTGGGAGGTCAGCCAATTGTTTCTCGTCACTTCCAATGGCTGTACGGGCGAGCCCCCGGATGTCAGGGGAATTGAAACAGAGTCGGGGGACCTCACAGCACTGCTGAGGGGGTACAAAAAAAGAATGAGGGACCGCATTATAGGTCTAGCCGCGTAAGGTTACGAATATATTGCGGAACCAAAGAGTGAAGAGTTTCCCTTCTGCAAATGGATCTCATTGCTCACAATCCTAACTAGCTAGCTATTTGGCCACTTGACCGCCGAATATTACTCCATGGATACACGTCGCTATTTTCGATCAACCTTATAATATTTCATGTTTAAGTTGTTGACCGGCCGAGGATATTGTCGCTGCAGTTCATGATCTGCGAAAGAATACTGTATGTATGTTTCACTCAACCCTTGAATGGACTGGAATTCTTTATGCACATCAGACGATACTAAAGCCGCGGTACTAGGAGGGGGATTCCCACGCAATTGTCTACTAGGTTGGATGGGTACATTCAGGAGACGTGATCGATAAGGTGGTCCGTGTATGAAGAACGGAATAGGGGCTAGAAGCCAGAGGCCAATATGCAATGTTTCATTAGCAGATAGGTCCTAAATTCCAAAAGGGTATCAGCCAGTCAGTCGTCGAGTCCTCGTGGTGCTGTGTTTTGCGCATCAATAGTTCCCTTTCACATGGTATGTAATGTATCGCTGTTCAGATCAGTAAGGGAGGTCTGTCTGTCTTGGGTGTACATGAAACGACACGGAGACGAGCATCGAGGTCCGTGAACGTGTACTCCCTGGTATTTGCAGATGGGCAAAAAATGTTCCTGAGTGGCTGAAATGGTGCATTCCCACTTTTCGGGCGGTTACCGAGTACAAAGTCGCCTAGTCTGAGCGCTAAATACGTTGAGAACAAACAGCTTCGTCGAGAGATGCAGAGTCAGGGAATGCTACCACTAACTAGTAGTCGGATGTCACTCGGTCTAGAATCAACCAACGGTGGTGGGGGGGTGTGCTGATGACATCACCTGATATCTCCCATTGTTCAAAGTTCACACCCTGCTGAGCAAGTCGTCGAACAAGGCCTTGGAACAAACGAGCTCATGTCCAGCAGATCAGATTGTCGTGGGTTACCGCCTTCCCAGGCGAAAGACTGGCGGTGAAAACAAGTGGCCAATGGGAGGGATCAGGATGGGGGAGTGCACCATTCAAGTGGGGCGCGGAAGCGGACATTGGTTGCAGCGGGGGCACATGGTGGGGGGAGATCATCAACGGAATGACCCATGTCTCGTTCTCCTTCCCAGCGAGATGACTGGTCGTTCGCTCACTATAGACTGTAGTCTAATTCCCATGCTTGGGTCTCGATCCCGGTTTTCTTTTTCTTCTTGTGTGGACTACCAGTATTTACCTCGAATATATGACATACATAGTAAAGGAACCCCCTTGCCGTCAATAATTGATCACGATAGTCCATGTCGTTCAGAGGAATGACATCAGATGGGTGCCTATCATTCCGAAGGAGATTATTTGGAGTTAGGAGAAATATGAATCCCACTAAAAAAAAGAGTAGCCTGTTGCAAGGGGGACAAGGAACGAGTCCTCAAGGAGTCAACCTGCAGGTCCAGACTCGACCTGCAGGGGAATCCAATCTGCCTGGATGCCTGATGGAGGGCCCGCCCCGCAGTGTTCTTCTTTCTGAATTGATTCTGAAGTTCCTCCCTCCGTATCGAGTTGACAAAAGGGAAGGAGCGCCGATTTGACTAGGGCAACTAGGCTATGAGACTAGTCAAGTCATTGGGGTCAATTTGTTTGCCCTCGTCCTCTCTTCGTTTTGCCTTTCTTGTCCTTCGTGTTCGTCCCGAAGAGAAAGGGTAAAGTGCCCGATTCTCTCCACTGATCGTCTGCGGTGTATCCTCTCGTTTTTCATTTTTTTCACGCAACAGATTGGAAGTTCCCCGTCGGTCAAGAACCGGTTTCGCCTAGTATCCTTCCTTCGAACTCATTCTCCCCATAATTGATGGATTGACTACTAGTATTCTTACTACTATTATTATTTTCATTATTATTATAAGTCGGCCCCGGCATCCTGCGAACGACATTCAACTGTTTCCGGTCGACTCACTCTCCCTTTCCCTCTGAACCCTTCCTCCATCCTTCTTGTTCGCTTGGCCCTCGTTCATTCCCTATGTCTTCTCTCTCTTAAGTTTGATGGGCTGGAGTGACCGTCAGGATGTTTCATTGTACCGGTATGTAGACATGGTGATATACTCTGGGGTTTAAAAGGCCGTGGGTGGTGGAGCCCGCATGAAGTATATAGTACTGACTTCGCTCGTCAGAACCATTGTTCCTATTGTCACGTATTGATGGTCAGAGACTGAGTCTCATGGTCGGTTGATCCACCCGATCTTTTGCGCCTCCCTTGATATTCCTGTCTCTTTTCGACAATCCCGACCACTGGTTCGTCGGCAGGTGATTGTCGCCAACCATGAACGCCATCACATGCCATCGCCAATCGCATGCCCACGGCGGCTATCCGTACAGCCTGTCGCACGGCCATCACCATAATAATAGCAACAATAACCGCCCTCTCCACATAGTCCACACTATTACGCCAACTGCTCTGGGTCCAGGCCCCGGGGAGACTCCATCGTGCCTGGCCGGGTCCCAGCTCCCTCCATCCCTTGAGATTTCCTCTCATAACCTGAATGCCTTGTCCGATACAAAAGCCACCTTGGAACTCACTGAAATCACTGTGGATACATGCACCTCCCCAGTGTCTCATGATATCGCCGACGATATGGGGCTGAGTATGGAGGTATCTTCCATCACAGATCCAAGCGTCACACCAGAAATATCTCCCGTTTGCGACAACCCTCGCATCCCGAAGCGGAAACGAACTTCATCGCCACCGTCGCCCTCATCGACAAGTCCCGGAGACTATCGTCGCTCATCGTCTCGAAGCACTCGTCGTTCTGCACAGACGGCTCGCCACAGCTCTTTACATTCTCATCGCCACGCAGCTACCGTCACGGCCCCTCTCACGCCATCGGTTCCTAGCAAAGATCTAGAGACCAAGCGGGAAGATCTTCTGGCCCTGCACCGGGAATCCTGCCGTCTATTTCAAGACAGTGGGCGAACGATTTCAACTCAGTATAGAAGAACTTCACTTCCCCCCACTACCCACGATAGTCCGCCACACACGCTCCGTACCTCGTCAGAGACCTGTTCACCCCCGGTGTCCCCAGTCTTCCCGACCCAAATTTCTACGGTGAGGGAGGACCTGACGGATCAAGACAATCATAAGGGCCCCTTGCTCCACACTTCGCCCATCACCAACACCATCCATGACGAAAGTTATATCCCTTCGATCCAGGCCTCGGTCACTGTCATTGACTGGACGTCCCCGTCCACGCGGAGGCGCGAATACAAAAAGATCGATCGTGCCAGTAGTGGGGTAAGGGGCTTCTGGCGCCGGGTTGCCCCCAAGTGGTGCCAGTTCGGACATGACCGCACACCGTTCTTTGAAGAAAAGGACGGCAAAGGAAACTACGAGGGTAGTGTCCGACGGTTTCGAATGGACCTCCCCGACGAGCCTGTCCCGGAACGTAAAATGAATGCTATTCGGGCGCTCAAGCTGAAACAAAAGTTGGTGACGACTAAAATGAGCAGTCGTCGAAAGAGCGAATAACCGAGTCATGACGCCACGCTGGTTCTCTACCTTTCTCATTTAGACAATGACAGCCACCGGCTGCGTAACATTCTTTAGAAAAAGAAAAGCCTGGAGCTTTCCAAAGTTCCGAGTTGTGACGCTCTCACAGCGTGAGGTGTGTTGAACACGTGTCACAGATTTCTCGTGAGACTTGAGACTGTCGTTGATTATTCCCTTTCATGGGCGGGAGATTTGAAATTGTGATACCCAACAAGCCATAGACTGGACCGAATTCATATCTATTTTGCATCAAAATTAATCAGATTGCCTTGATATAAGAAAATGAGAGATACTTTTTTTTCCAATATCGCCACCTTGTAACGCCATGCAGATCATATAGATAATATAAATCATAGTGAAGGGTATCGACCAGAAGCACACACCCAGTTTGTCTAACAATCCACTCCCATCCATCACAGCATATCGAAATCGTCCAACTTGTCCCGATACTGCATGATGTTCCTCTTGATCTTACTGTTATCCACCCAAGTGACGAAATCTTCCATGTTCCTCGTCACCAGATAAGCGGGATCGGTCACGACCTCACTTCCAACACGCACATGTCCCTGCTCGATGAAAGTAACAGCCTGAAAACAGATTAGCCCTCACAGTCCACATACATAGCACAGAAATATCCCAATTGCCCCAGCCAGAGCCACAAAAGAAGAAGAATGAAGAAGAAGGGAAAAACAAACCGTCTTAACATTCTCCACCATCCCGCTCCGCGCCATAATAACCGCCAACCGACGTCTACAGAACGCAGAAACCGTCACCTCGCGCTCAACCCTCGACAGCCCAGCCCCCTGTTCCCGGCTCTGTTTCAGAATCCCCATGCGCCAGAGTTTATCGAGGACTTCGCTTTCGACCTTCTTCCGGGTTGGGTCGCTATCGGGATCGAGCTGGGAGAGCTTATGCGCTAGTTGACGGAGGGAGCCGCAGAGGGCATTGTATCTTTTGAGCATTGTGTTAGGGTTTATATCCTTATGAAACTAGGCGATGAGGAACATACTTCTTATAGTCGAGGTCATTCTGGAGGTAGTACCGCTGACGGACTTCGTGTTCGCGATGGCCGCCGTCGGACTTGTAGTTGTAGAAGTCGACCTTCCGGAGGAGTCTGTTTTAACAAATGTGTCAATTTCTATTTTTATAGGAAACCTCATTTCGGTTCGCTCTGTCGTAGCATAAAGGCAGAAGAAAATGATATCTGATCACTTGAAGATAGGGTTCTGCGTATCTCCAACCTGGATCCGGGATATACACATGCGCCCCGGGGTTTAGTAATCGCGGGAGCTGCACGCAGATCGACTTACTTCTTTTCGTGATACTTTAGCTGACGGACCATTTTGACAGTGTTCTTTTTTTTCCCCTTTGTATATGGGGGAGTTCTTGTTGCGGTGGTTGTATTGGTTGATTGGGGAAAAATTGGAGGGCGGTGTGCGGTTCTGCTGGTTTTGGGGCGTACCGCTTTGGGTCTTCTGCCTGAGGCATGAAGTTTGGAGATGTTTGGTACTATTCCTGAATAGGTAGTTGTATCAACTGGTATGATCTAATAGATCCTTATGAAACCATGATGTATTTTATTCTTTTAATGCTATTAACATGAAGGTGATGTGATCTACTGGTTAGTGGACCTAAGAAGTGGCTTGATACCAGACCTTCGGAGTGTTTCCCTTGTTACTAGTATAGCGATGGCACGATTATCCTGGGGTAGGGCTTGTAGCAATGAATGAGCTTATGGACTACGAGGCGGGATAGAACTCCTAAAAAGAAGCGGTAACTATCTCTATGGTAGATGCCAATTATACTGTATTACTTCGTGATAAAAGAATGTCAAACCCGAACTTTAAGTGTCTTCTATGATGCTCACTCAGTCTTTTCTCGTCCAGTGCGCATGAAACATGGTAAAAGTCGAAGCCCTCAAGTTCACTATCCTTAATCTTTATTTCTTCCTCTTGGCAACATTTGCCGTTACTAGGCGCATCTGACCGAGTCGACATGCCCTCCTGGGCAAGGTTAACCACTGTATTGAAGACCTTCTGCACGATATCCACCGTACCATACGGGTCATTCGCGGCGTTTAGAAGATTCCTGAGGATGAGAGATCTTGTGGTTAGGTTAGCGCATGCCGGATCATCATATGACCAATGGGACTGGATGAATCCAGTATATACAGATCTATAGAATCTCAGCGTATCGGGTGAATCCTCCCAAAGACCCAGGGGCTCAGCACGCCGCTCTATGTCTTCAGTCCAGCAATATATCGCCGGATCCCAGTCTCGTGTCAACCAGCTCGGGAATCGTTCGTTCCCTACACTTCGTGGGACAACCCCCACCCCGTCCCAGTCGATGATGGCCTGCAACGCCCCGTCTCGGGAAACCAGGACATTCTGAACATCAAGATCAGGATGGGCCAGAACGAACGCGCCCCGTTCATCGCTTGGCTCTGGAATCCAGTCGATGAACAATCGGAGAAGTCCAAGCACACCCCTTTCGAAAGTCGTATCTGGCTCTCTTCGACAATCCAGCAGCGCTGTGTAGTAGTCTTTTGTTTTGGAGAAGGGCCCCATCTCCAAGTAGACTGTCGATTGGTCGGGGTCGCCAGCTCTTAACCGCTCCCGCATGGTTGCAGTATCTATTAGTCGCAATGGACCGATGCCTGATGGAAACCCCTGGTCATCGAAAGCCATTGACCCCCCTGTTCTGGAAGAGAATCTGTCCAGCTGGGCCATAGCAGCCGCGAGGCCATGTAAGCACCGAATCCGTCGCGCCTGTACAATTTCTTTGGGCGAAGCGTTATCGAACCAGACTTTGTACAGTGAGACTCCCTCAACGTGGTCAATAAGAATGAACGGACAATGGAGCTCATTATCGTATGTGTCGCTAAAGGCATGAACATTTGGGACTGGGATGGTAGTTTCACGACGCAGGAAGCGCATCGTCAGTGCTTCTGAGCGTATGGCTCTAGCATCGGAAGCTTTGAATCTTTCCCGGGTCCCATTTGCAGGGACTTTGAGTAGCCAGAGAGTTTCGTCGTGGAATCTCACCGGAAAGAGCACATGGTAGGAACCGAATATTGGTGGCTTGATTTCGATTGCCCTGGAACTTTGTGGGTTGCTGTGTTGGATGCTTTGTCGAATTGTGGTGGCGTAATTGGCGAGACGACCCAGTTGTATACGTTCCATAACCTCTGTGAATAAGTCATGTTCATCGGGTCCTGGGGAGTCCGAAGAGCTGGACCCGAGCACATCTTCCTCTTCATATTGCTCTATAGGAGAGCTTGGTGTCATGGGTTTGAATGGCTAGGGCAAGTACCTTGTATTTCCCGCCAGCGATTCGAAAGGTTGGTGACTGGCGATTCCAAAAGAAAATGGATGCTCCCAATGCAAACCGTTTCTTCTAGGAAGAATAAAAGTGAATAATGTGCAGAATATAGCTAGGCCTGGCCGTTGATGTGTGTTAGACATATGAAGAATGGGCAAATTGATCCACAACTCACGGGTAACTAAGCCAAGGACTGATTTGTCTGTACCCTAATCAATTATCCGGCATAGGTTTCCATCTCTCAGGAAACTCCAGATAAAAACTCCGCTGTACAACCATCAACGATTGCAATTTCTTCATTTTTCTTATATATGCGACACGATCCGCAAGATATCGCCAAGGTTCAGCTGGTGCAGAGTTTCACCGCTTTAATCATTGCAGATCGATGTCTAATCTAATGGAGTATGTAGTAATATACAAAAGCCACGGACTCATGTAGTTCATCCAAACAGCTTCATGCAGTGTATTTAATTAATGTATCATAACTCATCCTTCACTGATGGCTCGGGCCGACCACTTTCCTTGTCCAGATTGACCCCGTTCTTCTTGCGCCACTTCTCCCACAACGCAAAGAACTCCTTTTCCATTCCGCTCTCCATCTGGTCAGGAAGGATCACACTGTACTCCACATACAGGTTGCCCGGCTCCTCATCTTGGTCGTGGCTTTCATGGAGATGGCCATCCGAGTAGAATGGCATGCCTTCGCCCTTGACTGTTTCCACAGACAAGGGCTGCACGACCTCGCCACGTTTGCGTCCAAGCTGGACGATGTGACCATCCAAGTGAGTGATATTGCGGGTCCACTCACCCATCCACGCCTCCCGCAGTGATAGAGCTTCCCTCCAGAATAAGTCCTTACCCTTCCTTCGGAAGAAGGTACCGTCCGTCTGCCACTGATAATCGCCCGCTTCGGGTTCCCGCTCATCCAAAATCAGCACCAGGTCACCAGCAATATAGTCGGGACTTTCGTCAGCCTCATTTTCGAAAACAATCCGTGACCCCTTCCCCATTCCAGGCTCTACAGTAAACGCTGTTTCCACCTCCCTGCGAACGACCCGATGTCCATGGCATACATGACAAGGCTTCTTGACAATCTTCCCTTGCCCTCCACACTTGTCACAGGTCATCTGCACTTGCTGAAACATTCCGGGTGCCAGCATATGTTTCTGGATGACCCTTCCATGTCCCGCGCACCGATCACAGGTGATAACCTCACGATCTGCCGACCCTGTGCCCTCGCACGCATCGCAGATCTGCTGTTTCTCTAACATAATCGTGACCTCCCTCCCCTTATAGAAATCGCGCAGCGGCAACCCAATCTTGTATTCCATATCTGGTCCCCTCCGATGCCCCGGCGCATGGCCGAAGTGTCCGCCGCCTCCGAAGAATCGCGAAAACAAGTCGAAGGGATCGTGCGCCTGTCGTCCCGCATTGCCTCCCTGTCGATGTTGTTCCACTCCTTCATGTCCATACTGATCGTAGATCTTGCGCGTGGTAGATGTAGAAAGTACGTCATATGCCTCTGCGATTTCGACAAATTTCTCGCGTGCGTTCTCGTCGCCTCTGCATAGTTGCCGTTAGAGTACTAGTACTTCCGAGGTAAGGTATAAACGTACGGGTTCTTATCAGGATGGTATTTCTTGCTCAATGTTCGATATGCCCTTTTAATATCCCTTTCTGAAGCAGACTTGTCTAAACCTAGAGTCTTGTAATAGTCTTCTGCCGCCAACACCAACTGCACCAGGCATAGTGCAATGGCGAGGAAAAGGCAAGCTAGGCGCATTGTGGATAGCATCTTCTACGAGCTGCGTTCGCGCAGCTCGTGTGCGTCTGGTGATAATCAGTTGGCGGCCTTATCGTTGCAATCAGAGGTGCGCGAGTCTTGTCGACTTGTGGGTATCTCGAAGTAGATAAGAGGCGAGAGAAAGAAAAAGCAGCTATTTCGCTAATTTTTTGCTTTTTGAACTATAGAAGCACACTCAAACACTCCATAAAGTACACGTGAACTTTGCCTTGAGATCAGCAAAGATCTCATAAAGCGTGTGGTGGAATTGGAGCTTTGTTGCTGTCCTGAACTAAATAGATGTCCATCGGCTGTCAACCAAATAAACCATAACTTGTCGATTAGGTGGCCGCAACACGGCGAATGGTTCAACCGGGCCGGATCACGTGTGGTTATACAATTGTCCCCTTCTTTATTGGAAGCAGCAGCTAGGCAGTATTGTACGAGGAATTTGTTTATTTGGCGATGTCTGCTAAATACTAAAATTGTGCAGTTCATTAAGGCCCGTGATATGTGGACAGCTGAGGCATGCATGGCAGTAAATGAGTGACTGCTGTTAATGGCGAACATTACGCATATGTCGCATAGAGTAAGTAACAAACAAGATGGTCCAGCGTATTCATAGACTTTGTAAAGCAGGCAACTCGCTAGGGAATGTTCGAAATAAGTGTGAGATATGTCAGTGGATGAAAAGAAATCCCGAGCAAAAAAGCAAAAAGCGAAGCATCCGTCAATCATGAGCTACGTGTCGGAACGTTAAATATGTCGTTTCGCCATGTTCTTCTCAGACCATAGCTCTCATCTCCTTCTTCAATGGCCTCGAGAGCTCTCAACGCCTCCTCGTGCCAAACTTTCGTAAGACTTCCAGGGGCATAAACACCCTTGAACACACCTTTTCCAGGTGCATCAAAGCCGATACGAGTCTCAACGTCTGAGGCTGGTTGCAATCGTGTCAGCACCGCCCGCACAAAGGTCGCCAGATCTTGGGGATTGGCAATACGTGCAGCTCGCAAACGCTCCCGTGCAAACACGAGCTCTCGGTTCAGTGCAAAAGCGGCGGCAACGATTCTTTCTGCGATCTTCTTCTCCAAGACTCGACGAAACATATGCTTCAGGAAGGGCTTAGTCAACCATAGAAGGTACTTCCACTTGCTGCGATGCACCTTGTAATCGAGCTTGTGAATTACCACCCGCACGCCGCGAAGTGTAAAGATTTGTTCCAGGCGCTCCCGACCTACTTCTATATCTAAGGAGATATCAATACCCCGCTTATCCAGATAAAAACTGGCAACACCCTCATCATGGAAACGAAACAGGCCTGAGTGCGTGCGGAGCCAATATCCGAATTCTGAAGCACTAACGTTGAGCCCCATGACTGTGGCAGTAAACGTGGTCTTGAGATCGGCCGTAGTTCTCTTTGAATGCCTCTTTAAGACGTCGATGTCATTCCGAGTGGTGATATGCAGACGATATGGGAGAAATGATGAATAGTTAACAGTGTGGCCTGGCTCCAGGATGAAATTCTCCAATAAAAGGTCAAGCTCAGGCGCCATCACCTCCAGACGTGGGATTGGAATGTGTTGTATGGTTCGAAGAAGAACAGGAAAGAAGACCTCAAGGATATCCGAGGGTAACTCGCTTTTTCTCTCATAGTAGCCGTCCCATGCATCTTTGTATAGCTTGTTGGTAGCATCGACCAGTTTGGTCACTGAGGCATCTTCAGGGACTGTACGTAAAGCTCGTTTTGCCTGTTCTAGAAAAGCATCCACATCCTGCCGCAGATTAGACTCAGTGCCGACTTTCTTGGATTTCTCCTCGAGTTCACTGAGTTTTTCTGAAGCAGAGTCAAAAAAACCGGGATCGGTCAGCATCTGCTGCACTGAAGAGCCTAACTCTCCCATCAGTCTTTCAAACTCTGGGTCTTTATTAGTGTGCTGCAACAGTTTCTGGAATCTTTGTTCCAGGGCCTTCCATTGCTCAGCATCGCCCAGCGACTGAACCAAAGCCCAGAACTGCTGCATGGCTTGCTTTAGATCTTCATTCACCTCGACCTCCTCTTCAGCCGTTGTGATTATATCTGAGGCCGCATTGGCGTATGTTTTCGCGTAACGCTGCACTAGTGTAGCAAGGGTGGCTACTGAGTCTGAATAGTCCGTTCGCTCTCGCAGTTTCAGGACGGCTTGCTTCAACCGGTAGATCAAGGTATCCTTTTCCTGTCCGCCCAGATGTTCTTTGGCACTCTTGATTACCTCTTGTCCAGTACGGGCTACTCCATTGCCGGCTGCCTCCGCGACTTGAGCTACCTCCTGGCGTAGTTCCTCGCTTGACGGGGCCTGACCTTCATCTGCACCGGCGCCCTGTACCGCGTCGACTTCGTCTTGTGATGGCTTGATCTGTTCCCCCACTTGCTGTGAAGTATCTGACAGGAAATATGCCGTGTCAGAGAAAATCTGGCGGCCAACAGTGGTTAAGTCATCAACAAATAGACGAAAGTCGGCATTGGTCAGAAGAAGGCATCCCACAGTACGAAGACTATCATACGCTATTCCAACATCAGCCTACTACATTTACATCCAGTATACGTGTGAATTTACCGGCTTTAGTATCTTGTCTAGCCCCCACATGTGAGGCATGCTGTGCGACCTGGCCGCGATCAAGAGATGCCCTAGACCGGGACAGATGCCACAAGAATTCCTGAAGCTTATCATCACTATTTTTGTTGCGCAATAATTCGATGAAGACTTGTATCCAGATACGACAGTCTCGGATAAGCTGGCGACCGATAGAGCCGATATCCTGGGCACGAGGATTCAGAATATCGGAGGCCAACAAGGTACGGAGATTAATAACAACCTGGTCGGTAGATGGCAAGTAACCCTCCGAGAGGGCACGCAGCATCTGAAACGAGTGTAGTTTTTGATGCAACCGCCGCTGGAGGGTCGTGTCCTCCTCATAGCGAGGAAGGAGGGGCTCGGTTTCTTGCGACATGACAGATAGGCAGCCGTCGACCACGGTAGTATCTCTCTGTAGATTGACCGAAGCACTATCAAGTCCCAGTATGTACACTGTAGACTACCCGAGTTTTTCCGCGAGAGAATCAATGACTCAATTAACTCAACCTTCCCCGGAAGGAGCTGAGGTCAAGGAAGGGATGATGGGTTACATGACAGGGTGAGATGAGCTTCTCCCTGGTTGCCGCGCTTAACAGCTTCACTGTTGCGTCACTGATCCCCCGCCGCTTTAGCCAATCAGGTGATCTGCCTTTCGATATGTATGTACTACTAGCTACTTATCAATCCGTATGATCTCATAGCGCAAGAGAATCAAGTATTGGTTCTTCTAAACTGCCTATAGTTTATTGACAACTGATTTATTCTTTCCATAAGATCATTTCCCAAACAACTATAGTTAGGGTCTGTTTAACAGTCCTTGGTGAGCAACATTTCACGTCCTTGTCTGTCTCAACCTATTTTCTTGTCCATACATCTATCTCTGTACTCTGTACTTCGTACATACATCAGAATTAAATATACAAAGCACACACGTGCTTTTATTCTTATCTGTCAATCGGAGAACATTCCAGGACGGGCACCTACGTAGAGCCATTGTCGAGGCATAGAATCCCCATATGAAACGATACGTCGATGCCTAAGTCCCCTATTATCAATTGAACAGAGGATGATAATATAGATCTCTATTAATAGGCATGACGTCTCCTGATTGTTGTCAAACTGTCCTAAAAAAAGCTTGACCCCCAGGAGTATGGATGGACCCATTCTACCACACCGGAAACACTAGATCGACATAGTCACCTTGAGCCTCACCTGATGTTTCTTATTTGCAATAGAGTAACGTCAGGACCTCCATTCCATGATCAAAATGTATTTTAGTTCTACTTCAATTGCATGATTGAATAACCTATTCAAGGACGCCGACACGTACTTCAGTTAAGTCCTATCCCAAAAGGATAACCGGTGAATATCTTATTTATTTATTCGTTTTCTGAGATTCGAGTATACCATATGTTTATTGTTAGTTAACAAGTTGATGACCGTATGACTGCACATCGGTCAGGGGTTGAGACTGACTAGAAACACTAAAATAAAAATGAATGGGAAAAATAAGGGTATCTCTCAGAATGGACACCAATATACTAGCTCAATAACAGTACTAGTAATTTTCAATATTCATTTGAGTACGAGATGGAAGGGCTCGGAAGAGCTCCATCTTGTAAAATGATCGTTGACACTTAATCGAGATATTAACCAAATCTAACCCTAACTGGATAGGGGGTGTGCTATCGTACCAGGACACTAGAACGAAGATAATCCAAAAATATGTCAGAGTATTTCCGACACAGGTTACTCAGCTGAATACAAAAGCAACTTTCTACAATCACGGAAAGTTAGTTCCGTTAGATCGATCGAGAAACCCGAACACCGTCTCAACGTCACACATCCCAACACATTGATGCTGCAGGGTTATGGACAAAGTCGGAAGTGCACGATAATTAAAGAATCCTCCTCATCAATTCCAGCGACACTTCCGAAAAGACAAAAGACTCTGCAGGGATCATAGTTGCGGAAATCCCAACGGTATACTGAGTACTGTGTATCTTCAATCCCAGTCCCTATGCTACACTGTATAAAACATACTGTTCGGCCCTGTGACCAGATGTATACGGATCAAAGAAGAAAGGATCGGCACCGCCCAAGCTTTAGATCAATGCGACTCGAATCTGGGGAAACTGGCTGAGTGGGTAACGGTATGAATCATTCTAGGTTGAAGATGTGCCCATTATTCTCTCGTAAAAGATTGGGAAGCGAGGGGGATTGAATTAGAGACATATGTAGGAGTTGTGCATAAATGACTCGGTAGATCTGGACTACGCCGACTGCCGTCTATGGTGGCAATACACCCGACTGAACAGGGAGAGTCGGGTGTGATAGTAATCGCCTATCTCACCATTATTAATTGGAACCGCCTCGATTGTAACGGTTTAAAATCCAAGAGAATATGTATTATCTATGCAATTTTGAAGCTTGGCGTTAGCGCCTAATGTTTCTCAGTCAGAACTGTGTCACGGTTTTGAAGCTCGGAAGGCTAGGGCGACTACTACGCAAACTAGGAAATGGGCTCCATCCGATGTCTCCATCGGCCGGACCCGATCGGCGGAGCCTTGCTGTTTCAGAGTGTTACTATTGGGTAGCGAAACAAGGATTTTGGGGGTGACAATTTTGAAGTTGGAGAGGTCAAGACTTGAAAGGGTTGAAACGAAAGAATATGCCCACACTAAAGAATAGGGAGGAGGCAAAAAAAAAATCACGCATTCTGATGGCTCAGGTAAACGTGTCCCGACACGCACTCAGACAACATGCATGGTATTTAGCCGTCTGTATGTATGTAAGGGGAGTACATACATACATACAACAAAGTCTATGCGTCATTAAAAGACATTGACAGCCACAGAGTATAATCTCCAACTTTCAATGATTATCGTATTTCCCGATGCAGCAATAGTAATGACAACGGTTGCTATGAGTAAGAAGATACCTTAACCTCTAGAGGTTAGGTGCGAGGTGAGGTAATCAGAAACCCGCCACTGACTAAAGAACCCGAACTCGGCCAGTGTCCGGGCCGCGTTTTCGCTGCGGGGAGCCTAAAAAAAGACACTAAAAGTACTGAAGAGTGTCGAGAACCATGAGTATCGATCAGCGCTTCCGTCCAGAATCCTTCCTCTCGCAGTTAGACTTACTGGGATTGGAACCTAGCTTGGAGCTCCACGACCAGGCTAGTTAGTGCGCCTATACATTAGGCTAATTTCTGCCACATGAGACTGGATCCACTTTTTGTCCACTGAAGTCTGAAGGGTCGTGTGTCGTTTTTTTGGTTCAGCTCCACAGGATGAAAATTATCGGGATGCCATATCGGATACCAGCCGTTGCTTACGGGATCCCTACTCTGATGGCTCGAGAGGATTATTATTACACTACTTCGTACTTTTCAGGGGAAAGGAAGGTTGGACGGAGTATAACGATCATCGTGGGAACACAGTATTACACGGAACTACCATCAAGGGAGGAACTTGTAAACCGGAGTCCGGAGTTAAGAGAGAAGAGAGAATATGATACTAGGTAACAGTATACTTTTGTCCATCCGAGTCTAGGTGTACACCGCGTAGGCATTTTTCATTGTATGTATGGATGGGGGTACTTCGGGACTATAGTCGAATTGGAATAAAAAAAAGAGAGAAAGAAGAAGAGACAAAAAAAAACCGCAATTCATATTTGCTTACGTCCAGTAAAATGCCACAATCAAGGGGTCGGGTGCAAATCTCCTCAACAAAAAAAGAAAAAAGGGAAAAAATAGTATATGTATTACTCTACTTATTGGAAACCCACTACTAATGTGTCTCCGCACTAGTCGATATATCGGAATTTGCAAACGTGAAATTTTATACTTAGATGATCAACTTTTTTGATACCTGCGTCCCGACCTGTACTCCGTGCTACACGGTAGTTATCGTCCTGGACCAAAATTGCCGCAATCCATTGCCAACTCCTTTTGTAATTTACCTCATTCTCATTCGCTTTCAGCCCTGTCTGCCACTTCGCATCGCTCGCTTCGTCCTTTTGAATTTCTATTTCTCCGCATTTGTCGGGTTCGGAGACTCTTCCCGTTTCTCCACACCCATCCCAATTCGTCCCCAAATTTCCCAAAAAGCTTCGTATCCTATTCCCACTGGTGAGACTCGGACTAAAAGTATGCAACCATTAAACGTCCTCCCCGATATCCACCGTCGCGATCCCGACCTCCCTGACTGGTCCTTTGGATCCCGAGTCTTCCCGATTGATGAGTCTGAGCCTTCGTCTAATCACTCCACGGCCCTGGTTCTTAGACCTCGCGACGACCTCCTTGGAGATCACAACGGGTGTTCTGTATTATGACCACCGGAATGTTGTGGATTACTCCTCAGAGGGGTTCAATGTTAGCGCGCATACATAAAAACAGGCTGCTTCCTATCGTTCTGTCATCTCGTGCAACCATTTCCTCTGTCTCCTCCTCGTCTTCTTCATTATCATTTTCCGCTGCTGGTACTCGCCCCAATAGTAGTGTGACTCAGCTTGCCCCAATGGCTCGTCTCCCTTCACAGCAAGGCCGTCAGGTCCATGCGACCTCGACGTCGTATGTGAATCATGCCACTCCAGTGTAAGTTCCTTCTATATCCCAATGGCCTCCCGGCCAGTGGAACAAGTACTGGTATGGAAGCAAAGTTCTTCGCTGACGACGACCTTTTTGACCCTTCAGAGAGGCCAACTTTGATACAGCCAACCCTCCTTACATCCGCAAGTACCTCCGCACGTACGGTCTAACTCCCCCGCGCGCCGAATCCTACGAGGTTCAGAAAACAAGATGTATGTATATTGGGGCGTCGGATGCTCACGGCAATGAGAAAAAGCTAATTGTGCTATAGGTCTGGCACAATTGGCCTTGAAGCAAACCCCCATTGACAAGTTTCTCTATCTGAGCACTCTTCGCAAGAACAATGTGCATCTGTTCTATCGTCTAGTGACGGATCATCTGAGGGTATGTGCAGAAAGTGGGGACGAAAACAAGCTGCATCATAAAAGCCATGTTGGCAGGCTATATTTTCGTAGATCAGAAATCTGACATCCAGTAGGAGCTTACCCCTCTGATCTATACCCCGGTCGTCGGTGAAGCTTGCCAGAGATGGTCCGAGATCTACCAGCAACCGGAAGGTGAGTTTCAGAACCTTGTCTAGCCCAGCTGCGACGAATCAAACCCGGCCGCTAACGATGTTTTACCAGGTATGTACCTAAGCTGGGAAGATCGCGGCAATCTTGCTGCTGTCATTGCCAATTGGCCCCAGCCCCATGTGGAGATCACATGCATCACCGATGGCTCCCGAATTCTCGGCCTCGGCGACCTTGGCATCAATGGGATGGGTATTCCCATTGGCAAGTTGGCGCTCTACACTGCATGTGCAGGTATTCGCCCCGAGGCCACCCTTCCTTTGACTTTGGATCTGGGAACAAGCAACAAGACTCTCCGGGAAGACCCGTTGTACATGGGTAGCCGCCGTGACAAGATTACTCCGGAAGAGGAGCGGGAGTTCATGGATGAGTTGATGGCCGCTCTTACGGAACGTTGGCCTGGGTAAGTAGTGACTCCTCTGATCGACCCAACATCTTCCGATATTACGGGCGCTAACGGAACGGCTTACGCCCTGCAGCATTGTCATTCAGTTCGAAGACTTCAAGAACCCCTTCCCTGCCTTGGAGCGCTACCGTGATATTTACACGTGCTTCAACGATGATATCCAGGGCACGGGAGCCGTCATCCTGGGTGGAGTCATCAACGCCGTGAAACGCTCGGGTCTTCCTTGCAAGGATCACCGTGCTGTCTTCTTCGGTGCGGGAAGTGCCGGTGTCGGTGTTGCTAAACAGATTGTTGCTTTCTTTATGCGTGAGGGCATGACTGAGGAAGAGGCCCGGTCCTGCTTCTACCTGGTCGATACCAAGGGTCTCGTCACCTCTGACCGTGGCGACAAGCTCGCCGACCACAAGGTCTACTTCGCCCGGGAGGACAATGGTGGTCAACAGTACAAGACCCTGGAGGATGTTGTCGACTATGTGAAGCCAACCATTCTCATGGGTCTGTCTACCATTGGTGGCGTCTTCACTCCAGAGATCCTGCGCAAGATGGCCGACTGGAACACCGCTCCTATCATTTTCCCTCTTTCCAACCCCTCCTCCAAGTCGGAGTGTGACTTCGAGACCGCTATCACTAACACTGATGGTCGGGCTCTCTTTGCCTCTGGCTCTCCCTTCCAGCCCGTCTCATTCACTAACTCCGCTGGAGAGACCCGCACCTACTATCCCGGCCAAGGCAACAACATGTATGTCTTCCCCGGTATCGGTCTGGGTACGATCCTCTCCAAGGCAGTCAAGATCACCGACAGCATGATCTATGCCTCTGGTGCAGCCCTCTCGCAGGCCCTGACTGCGGAGGAGATTGATCGCGGTCTCCTCTATCCCGACTTGACCCGGATCCGCCAGGTCAGCGTTGTGGTGACGCGCAAGGTCATCCGTGCCGCACAGGAAGACAAGGTTGATCGTGAGACCGCCTTACGCTCCATGAATGATGACGCGCTTGATGCCTGGATCAAGGCCCGCATGTATGACGCTCACAGCGAAGTTCTGGCCTTGGAGAGGGAAGTTGGTGCCCTCCTGCACAACCTGAACCCATCCTCGCTCCTGAACGGGCTGTCGAATGACGAGAATGCCAAGCTGTAAACGCTCGCATTCTGTTTGTTCTTCCTTCCCTCACCCTTTTTTTTTCACTTTCTCCATGCTCGACTCGGCAGCATTCCCACTTCGAGCAATCTTCGCTAAAATCCTGGGACCATCCAGGCTGGTTTGATTTGATTTGAAGCGCTTTTGTTTTGTTCATACCTCACGGCCGTTGGCTAGAAGGATGCACTTGTTCCTGTATACCCCGTTCATCCCTAATTGCGATTTGTCATACATTTTTGGACTTGGGTATTTGTTCGGTTCGTTCTAGAATGGTCCATGATTGTGGTATTTCGGGCAAATTGAATGAATAATATTTGATTGCATGATTCGTGTTCCAACGCTTAGAGTAGATTGGTATACTAGTAGGCTGGGGTCTCACTCTGGGGCTTTGAACCTCTCCACCTGGACCCCTCGCAAGCTTTTCCCCTCACGGGCATGTGAAGTGGGGGAGGTGCGGAGGTTTTGATTTGAATCTCCCCGGCGGCGGAGCTAAGGTTAAGGTTGTGCAGATCTAATCTTTCGCAATGGATGTCGGATTGGGATTTGGGATGGACTTTGAAGGGTCCCTGGCAGTGGAAAGTTGGAAGAAACATGTGGGCAAAAATAGAGGGGAAAAAAAAAACCACTCTTTGTAAATCTGTCAGGGGTGGTTTAACAACACCATTGGCTACAAGGTTGGGGCCCGCTCCACGTGCCTTTTCCACATCTGGTAGGGACATAACTTTTCTTCCCCAGGCAACAAGAGCTTATGACGATAGCAGCAAAAGGTATACATGTAGTTCACTACTAGTAGTACTATGTATGTAACCTGTCTGTCTGTCTGTCACTTGTCACTTGTCGCCATGCCATGCACTCACGTCATTTCATCTCGTTTCGATTCTTTTCTAAACATTAATAATCTTCTTTTATGATTGCTAAGGGGCATCACCCAATTAGTACTCCGCTCCGTACCATTAAGTACTATATCACTAATCAATATAGTTGGTCAAACTACTGACGACGACCAAGTGTCCTTCAGGACGCTTTCGGGAAACCCCATCCATCCGTTATCCGTGCGGCTTGCGTTTGCTCCGCTCATCACCATGAGAAAAGCGGACACTATCTGCCTCGGTTGTGCATATCCGACCTGCGGGAAAGTATATCAATCCTCAGTGTCCTCAGGTACCGGGTCACATTAGCCCAACCAAAATCATTTCTCTTTACATACTACCGATATGCCGTCCCCTCTAGGCGACGCCGTCAAACTACCTTGCGGGTTGGTGTTTCCCAACCGCTTTGTCAAGGTAAATACCAACCCTGCAGCGCAAACCCATTTTTCTAACAAGGCTGTCAGGCTGCAATGGCCGAGATGATGGCGGGATGGGAGCATAACCCGACGCCGTCAATGCTTGATGTCTATAATCAATGGGGCCAAGGAGGATGGGGCGCTCTCCTCACAGGTAAAACCTTGAATAGCCTGTTGTGCAACCTACCATATCAGCGTGTTAATTTGATCGGACAGGAAACGTCCAAGTTGACATAGACCACCTCGGGAGTCACTTTGACCCTGCTCTGCACGGTGAATATACCGGCAAAGAGGGCAACGAAGCCCTCGTTGCGACCTGGGCCAAATACGCTCAGGCATGTCAACAACATGGAACCCCTGCCATCGTGCAGATCAGTCATCCCGGTCGGCAGTCATTCCGCGGTGCAGGCAACCGAGGTCTCTTTGCACCGACTATAGCGCCGAGTGCGATTCCCGTGCAGATTGGGGGTGGCTGGTTGGATTGGTTCGTTAGCAGGATCACATTCCCCGCACCAAGAGAGATGACACAGGCGGATATTGACACGGTGACGAGGAAGTTTGTTGATACGGCTCGGTTAATGGCCGATAGTGGATTCTCTGGCGTTGAGTTGCATGGTGCCCATGGATATTTAATTGGTACATCTCTCTGAGCCGATGAATGCCTCGAAGATATAAATCGGTTGCTAATAACGCAGATCAATTCTTGAACCCTAAGGTAACGACCTCGTTCAGGTAACTACCAAAGCCCTACTTAACACCTTGGCGACAGACAAATCTTCGAACAGATGCGTACGGTGGCACTCTGGAGAAAAGAGCAAAATTTGTCCTGGACATCATTACCGAAATTCGAAAAGCCGTTCCATCGAAGTTCTGTGTGGGCATCAAACTCAACTCTGCAGACCACAGCTCATCAACCTTTGAAGAAACCATGACTCAAATCGGATTACTGGTAGAGGCCGGGATTGACTTCCTCGAAGTCAGTGGTGGAAGTTATGAAGATCCCAGTGTAGGCGCCCTCGCCCCCTTATCCATCTGCCTATCACACAGGCTCATCGCATACAGATGATTGGAGGCACACAGCCGCAGAAGAGCGCCCGCACAGCAGCCCGCGAGGCCTTCTTCATCGAATTTGCAACCGAGGCCCGCAAGCGGTACCCCGATCTTGTCTTTATGCTGACAGGCGGCTTTCGAAGCCGCACAGGTGCCGAGTACGCCATCAAGGAGAACGCATGCGATCTAATTGGAATCGGCCGCCCGGCGGCTATTGACGCCAAGTTTCCTCAGTTGCTCCTCGATGAGAGTGTTCCAGATGAAAAGGCACAGTTACTCCTGAACAAGGTTCCGGCTCCATTTTATACTCGGTTCCTTCCTACGAAGGTCATAGGTGCTGGGCTAGAAACTGTAAGATATCCTATTAACGTTCAAGAGACAGCTTGCTAATCGGAACAGGCATATTATGGGGGGCAGATTCAACGGATAGCAAAGGGGTTGAGGACCATGGTACCGTCTGTCTAATTACACCATCGGTGCTCCTTGTAATGTTTTTATATAAGTACACTTAATATCATGGATCCGGATTTATTGAACAGCACAAGGCCGATTTATCTCGTCGCTTAATTGTTTATCAGTGTCAATTGGAAGAACTTGGGAGGTCGGTTAATTATATACAGTTCATCTGAGCGTTCTAGCTTTACAGACTCCGTCTCAGTCTAAGAGAACCTCTTCTCCAGCAACTTTGGCAAACTGCCCACGCTTGTTTTGCCTTCGAGAATATCTACCCAGATATTAGCAACCACAGTTGGCAGAAACAACACCCAGAATCATAGACGAAACTCGCCATATGCAGCGTCAAACAAAGGGAATTCCTGCACTTTCCGTGCTTCTCAAGGAATTCATGGACGGACTTCGCCGTTGACGTTCCCTGCAACTTCTGCCCGTTCACCTCAGTCTTTTCAATCTCATCTACACCCACCCCTTTGTCCTCAGCATGCTTCGCAGACCAGAAGTTCCTTCCAGCAGAACAAGATGCTACCAGATCAGCAACGCACTCTCCTCCGTAAAGGTCCTCTCGTTGACAGACTGTGGGAACCAAGTCCGTCCAAACCTCACCATCTCCACCACTCCAACACCACATTGACATGGAAATACGGTCGTCCAAATAACGTCCGTCACAGGTCTGCATCAACCGTCACAAGCTCCTGTGGCACCCGCGTCAACGTCGTATGCGTCGGCCTCGTCTTCACCTGCCTCTGCTCATCAATCTTGATCTTATTGTCCTCCGGACTTCCATCCTCAGCCTTGACATCAATTGGCGGCGTATCCTATCCAATAGTTGTCTCATTGAACTTCTCCACCGCAACCTCTGGCGCGATATCTACCCCAGAAAACGACCCGCAGTAAATCCCCAGCTTCTCCATAATCAACCCCGAAAGCAACGTGACTATCTCACCCGTCACATCCACACCCTTCACGCACGGTATTGCCCGCGCATACGGCAAGTGCTTCCCCTTGATCTGACCTAGCGTCTTCTCGATAAACTGATGCGGGAGATTGATGACCAGGATCGTTGCGTCTTTCACCACGTTCTCTGGGAGCTTGATCTCCGGTAGGTATTTTACACTCTCATGCACAGCGTTGATTGCCTTGGTTAGGTTCTAGGGCTTGTCGCCGTATCTAGTGTGGTGGGGGGAGTCGGACAGGACCTGGATCTGTTCTTCGAATACCCACATTTGGACCTTCGGGGTGAGGAGGTCGAGGTGTGAGGCTGTGTTTTTGACGAGGATCTTGGCGATCGTTGAGCCCCTTTCTTTTTGGGTTGCTGTGGTTGTATATTGGGAGTATGTACCAGTTTCCGGAGCCGATGACGGCTACAGTGTGTTGTTGCTGCAGCATTTTTGTTAGAGAATTTTATATGTTGTTCAAACAAATTGATTGTGTATATCTGGGTAATTGTTTGACTGTGTTGATTTGGGCAGTATTTATATATATCCGGATGTAGAACTATGATGTACTATTTTTTCTTGATCTATGCATATCGCGAGGACGTCATCTGGACGTGACCTTTAGTCAACTCCAGACGTCACAGCTCTTGCCGGCGCAACAGTCTTAATATCAATAATTTTATGCTGCTTATTTGTCCCATTTTGGTTATGTTATTGGATTGTTGGGTCACGCTGAGTCTTGTACCAGAATGGATTATGTGGCGATATCAAAGTTTGGTCTTGATTTCTTAGGTATGTACATAGCGAATCTGCTGTATAAGAAGAGTCACTTTCGAACAACATTTAGGAAAATACGTTACAAGTTTAATGTTAAAGGATGCTATATCCTATGATCTTCTATATTCTGTTGTAGTAAAAATAGTATTGTTTAAATCAACTCTTTTACTATATTTTCCCTTGATTTAGAAGCCAGTTTTCCCTTAAAAAAAGACAGTATTAAAAGAGGTATTCATTTATTAATTTTTTACTATATAATCTTTATAATTCTTTCTATGGTATATTGCGTCGCAGATCACAGAGGATCAAACAATACAGAATCCTCACCACCCCAGAGATTCCCCGATAAGCTCTCTAAAGTCTCAAAATCAGGCATCCAGAACGGGCAATCCTCCTCCAGGTCAATCCAGGGTGCAAGTTGGAATGCCATGCGCACTCCATGATCTTGCGCTGTCGGATCCATCTGCACTGAGCTGACATCGGGCATGCCCGGACCGGTTGTTGGATACTCCTTGGACATGCTAGCAGTGTGGCGGGGATTGGCACTGCCATGTTGAGCTGTCATCAGTTCGGCCATTCCAACTTTCTTGGCTGCGTCGCTTCCCTCGAGCTTCTCCATGGCCGCGTTGACGAGGAGCTCGAACGCGTCCCGGTATTTCTTGACCCATGCTGCTCGTTCGCCCATGACGAATAATACCGTGGAACAGGCGCGGATATCGTTGCTCATTTGTACGGACCATACCTCACTAGTGTGCGTCCATAGGGCGTACAGCACTGTGATACCTGCCATGAATACGGTCTGCACTGCTAGAAAAGAGTGACCGTATTCGAGCGTCTGGTGTAATCTTTTATGAGTCTGGCAGATATCGCCAGCCGCACGGAGACAGATATGATAATACGGGTCTGTGAGAGGAAGCGATGGCAGAAAAGGCTGGATCAGAAGTCGTAGCGCCCGGTTATAATGTAACATCGGGTAGTCGAGATCTGGTCCACTAAATCGCAGCAGTGCCGATTGTTTCCACTCCTCTAATTCGAGGAACAGACGGTCCATCTTTGACCGGAGGGTGTGGAGTGGACGGTCTGCCCGGTATATCTTATGTTGAACTTTGGAGTCAATCTGGCGTATCTTGATTAGATATAAGGCAAATGTCATCGTTGTTGGTTTATCTGTCGGGGGAGGTGCTGCTAGAATAGCCGAGTCCCGTACGTCATCGTCCACGTCTAAGGGCAAGGGGAGGTCGATGTTCCTGTCTGCAATGCTGAACGGCCGACCGAGGGACATGGAGACAACCCTCTCTAAGTAGTAAACTGTCCAGAATAGCCTTCGCCGCAGTTGGGTTGTAAATGGGTCAAGGTTGACCTCATTCGCCTTCCTGTGGAGCCCCAGGTCAATAGCAGTACGCATAGCTAGCCCTATCATGTACCACACTCCCTGGCTAGACGCCGAGCGAAGGTGGTACACAACTAAAAGCGTCATGGCTTTGATGTTTTCAATGGACCGTGCCTCGCACATAGCTGAAGCCTGCTGAAGGGCGGTCATATAGAATCGCTTCCATCAATTAGACTATATTTCGAAAGCCCATAGTGCACGACTTACCTCAGGAGGGATGTATGAGTACCGCTCACTTAATTGGAGAAAGGTCGCTCCGATCGCGTAGACTATGTATAGTTGAAATATTCCAAATTTCTCAACTTTAGAAAGATCCTCGCGTTTTTTCTTCGCTAACTGCCAACGGGCCTCGTGCAGTCGCCATAGCTCTCTCCTATCTAGGAATGGATACCGTGTATGGAGTCGTGTCAGATAAGCATTCATGATTCGCGATCCCATTTCGTCATTCGGTGGCTCAGCGCCCTTCGCCAGTAGCTCCTCCATCCTCGGCGCTCGAGAGCGATCACCGGCATGTCTCGTACTAACTGGTTGATAGGAAAGACCCAAATTTGCATTACTCGTAGCTAGACCATTCCCAGTAGCTTGTGCGTTTTCGAAACCTCGCTGTGGCGCTAGGACTTGGTTCCAGACCGTTGTCTGAACCATTTCACCCAGGTTGGCTGCCAGAGAGACTCCTGAGCTCGACCCCACATACGCAGGAGCCTCTAGGGAATTCAGTGCAAGAAATCCCACCAGGTCCCCGATAGCGTTATGATCGATGCCAGTTGGAGAACTACGCTGCACCGTTTCTTGGCTATTGGGTGACAAGAACGCAGCAACTGAATTTGAGACACCACCACTGGCATTACTGCCCGTCCGTCCCGACTTAAGTTGTGACTCGAGATACTCGATACGCTCTTCTAGAGCACGAGTGTAGCTACTTGCATTAGGGCATCTGGGGGGAGAAGAATACTGTTGAAGTGGGTAGGCTTACGCATTTTGTTGGCCGCTTTCCTGCCGCACGGTGGCCTTGTCACATGTAGCCCCGGCCTTTTGGCAATTGGAGCAAATTGGGTACTCGTTGTCACACTACACAATTGTCAGGAGTTCCGCTCGCGACGATACCACACTCGAAACTAGGATGGGGACTAACTTTCTGCTTCCTCGTTTTGCAGCGCGTACATGCTGTCCTGGCGCGCTTCCGAGGGTTGTATTCCTGGGACGGAGTCGAGTCTCTAGAAGGTACCGTTAATTCACTTAAATCCATGACTTGGAAATCTATGTGAAGTCATGGTTCACGTCAAACAAAAGATCGTCAGTGGATTCCAGCAATGTGGGGAGATGGTTGTTGGAGACTTGGAGTAGAATCGAGGATATGGGGACGCCAAGACACGTGGAGTTGCTATCGATAAGGGGCACAACATTTAAAGTTACTGAACGTACTACAAAGTACCAGTAAGGAAGGACTATTGACAGAGGCCACTCAGAGGAAGTCGTAGATATTTCTTCATTATCTCATGAATCGAACAATACCCGAACCCACTTTTGTACGCTGCGATACAGTACGTAACCCTATAGCATGTTGATCTATGAACACGCCCAAACGCCGTATGTGCAAAGCTATCCCAGACAACATGAACATTTCTCGACCAATGTCGGGGCTATCAGGTTAACCCCCACGATTCGCATTATTAGCAGATGCGGACTGATTCTCAAGATCCGAGGGCGCACTTTTTTCCTGCGCAGTGAGCTCCTGGACTCCACGGCCATCGTCATCATTCTGTTTCTTCTTTTCCTCCTCTTCCTCCCCGGGGTCCTTGGGCCTTTCTAGTCCTCTATCTTTGATAAAGACACATAGAAGAAAACAAATGCCGATCAGCGGGACTTGCAAAATAAAAACTCCCCTCGAGGCCTTCGCATAGGCAGTGATGATTTGCTCCCAATCTGCGTCCGCAACGCCTGATCTGGATGGTAGTGAGTATGACGAGTGAGCAATATTCTGATATCCCTCTGGCAGATTGGACTTGAGAACCGCCTGCAATATCGCGGCCGACACAGCCAGTCCGCAAGCACCGCCCAGGCAGCGGAAGAAGTTGCGGTTCGATATTATAACTGCCCGGTGAGCTTTGGTGCAGTGGGCTTGGAAGGCCACTAGTGTAGGCTGGAAGGTGAAGCCTATACCTATGCCCTGTACGAGGACGATCACGACTATTGCTCCGATGCTGGTATGGCGATTAAAGAGAAGCATCAAGCCGGCACCACTGTTACCGTATATGGTTAGACTATTTTCTGAAAGGATTCCTCTACGAGGCAAGCACTTACAGGGTCCAAAGACCGAATCCTGTCCAGATAACCTCCCCATACCGTTTGCGGCGAGAGATGTACTGTCCGGAGCAGATGGATGCCAGTGACTGGCAAGCTACCAGGGGCGCCGTTAGTGCTGCAGAGAGGATTGGAGACCATCCTCTAGCATTTTGGTAGTACAAAGGCAGATAATAGAGGTTCGACTGGTAGACGGCCCCGAGAAGGAAACTCTGCAGGAACAAAGTACATATCACTTTATTCCTGAACATAACCACTATTGAAACATTAGTCTTCGCCGCAAGGTAGTTATATGAATGACGCACTGGGAAGCATAGGAAGCGTGGCCACCTTCCACTCTATGAAAATGAAAACAATCAAAGAGCAACCACCGATGACCAGCATGCTTATCACCATTGCAGAATCCCACTGGAAGTAAGAGCCTCCACCAGATATGGGAATGAGCAGGAGGATGATCCCGATAGACGACGCAATGACTCCGTAGTAATCAATCCGCCTCAAATTCTTCCTGAAGCTAGTCTTTTGGGCATTGTTTGGTATGAGAAAATATCCCACCACTATCGAGCATACTGATAATGGAGCGAGGAGCCAGAAAAACGCCCTCCAGGTTGCCTTCATGATAAATGCAGCTGCGAGGAAGGGACCAATTACGTTGCCAATTCCAAGCGAGGCACCCAAGATTCCCTGATATTTGCCTCGTTGCTCAAGGGTCACGATATCAGATACAATGATCATGGTCAAAGAGGTAACACCACCTCCTGCAACACCTGCCAGTCCTCGAAAGACATAGAACATAGGGGCATTCTGTGACAGGCCACAGAGCAAATCGGCAATACAGAGCAGGGCCAACGCAAGAAGGTAGACTATCTTTCGGCCAAAAATATCGGAAAGACGGCCATACAGCACCGTGAACATAGTATTTGCGATGAGGGACGATGTCCCCGCCCAGGAGATAGTGTTTTCAGCATGAAGATCTTTGGCAATTGTGGGGAGAGTAACGCTGATGCCGTTCTGGTCGACGAAAGTGATCAGTAGGGACACTGCCAGGCCAGCAAAAACAATCAGGAGTTGACCAAGCGGCAAGATATTGGTCTGATCATGCAAGGCTTTCTCTGCAGCTTGTTGCCGATTCATCATTTCGCGTTCTATTCAAACAATGCTTGGGTCGTTGCATTGAAGGCTGGGCTGCTTCAGATCGGGGAATATGAGATATCATGCAGCCGACGCTATTTCTTCACAAGATATAGTGCGTGTTTGACACCCATTGGGATCAAAGAGTTTTTAATAGGGAGCGTATAGCTGAGTACAGAACTTCCTCCTCCTTTCTTTTATGACCGAATGATGGAAATATAAGGCAAGGACGCACAGCAACCTAATCAATTAGGAAACGAGAAGAAATTTTTTTTTCTTACTGATGCCGTCAGTAAGTATGACGCATGTTATCAACTTTGCCATTGCCGTAATCTTTCATACTGAACAAAAGCATCGGACTATATGCCGACATGTTTTTATTCGACGCCTAAAGAACCAACGCCAATTATTGCCCAGGGAACTGCACAGATCCTTCCAAGCTGGCGGAATCTATCCACTTCTTCTCAAGCATTGGCGCTATTGGTAAATGCCAGGCTGTTGGATCGTTGTGCGGGACCCATTCCGCCCTGATTCTCGCTCCTCGTTGGAAACCATGAGGGAGGTGGTGGATCTTTGCTGTCGGAAATTGATAAGCCCTGGTCGGAGGTCCGAAAGCTTGGTCGGATGCGTGCCGAATTCCGTCCAATGGTCTTGACTTCAAGGACTTACTCGGCGTTTCTCAAAGCACACTGCTCTATTCATTCTCCTGTGCTTTAAGCTGTGCTTTATTTTTGCGGGTTATCTCTTCTCCCCCTCCCCCTTGCCGCTATCTTATCGTCATTACTCGAACAACGTATTCCTTTGCTTTTCATATTCGACTAGGTCGAAAATGCCCACGTGCTTGTCCGCGTAATCAACAATGTGGGTAGCACATTCTTGGAGAAGCAGGCACAGGAGGCGTCCTGGCATTCAAAGACGAATAGTTCGACCTACTGGTTCTGATGACGATCAGGAGTGTCCTTCAGCAAGTGAGGTGTATTTCCAGTGGCTTCTAGGCTCAACCCATTTTAGCTTATATACTTGATTAGAACAAGCCAGTCCAGAGACTTGAATGAACATGTCTGGTGAAAAGTTACAAGTCACCTCTTAGCAGTAACAACTAGCCGTGGCACCCTTAATCATTCTACGTGGATTAGGTGTGTGCAGGCGCAATTGGAACATCTAGAGTACCTGGCGTCCAGGGCGAATGTACGCCGCGGGAACCAGCCGCGGTGTCTCCCCCATACCCATGGGCCTCGGCCACGCGGCTAGCACCACTGCTACCTTGAATAGACTGCGTTGGGCGCCCTGTGCCTTCTGCTGCAGAGCCCTGACCAGGTATAGGAGGCTGAGGCAGATAATTTCCGCCAGTAACGTTTCCTTGGTTTGGAAAAAAGCTTTGATTCAAGGCTCCACATGTAGTGCATGTGAACTCGATCTTGAAGTTTGTGAGAACTAGTTGCGCAGCAGCAGGATGCCCCTCCGGTTGAAGCCGTCTTTGGAGCTTGGGTTGCACGGTCTGCGACGCTGACGAAGGGTTGGGGGCTGACACTGCATAACGAGGCTGGTGAGGTGTGATCGGCTGATTAAGAGGATTGCCTAAAGTTGCTTGCTCTGGGGACTGAATATTGGGTGGATGATGCACTGCAGCTGTCGGTTGTACTTGATGCGAAGCTTCTAGTTGAGCGTGCGACTGCAAAGCTTCGCCGTGGATTTGTGGGGCTTGAAGTGCAGGATGATTGCGCTGCATGCCACTGTGCTGCATTCCCTCGGCGTCCATGAGGCCATGTTGCATATTATCTGGGATCCATCTCGGTCCAGAAAGACTGCTGTAAGTTGAACCCTCTGCCGGCTCTTCAGATGGGGGTAGATGACTGCCTTGTTGGTCGTCTCCGCTGGAGTCGAGAGTGTCAGCTCGTTCTTCCTGGTTTTGTGTATGCTGTTGCTGCAATCTAATCAGGGCACGCTGCGCTTGCCGTATCGATATCTCATATCCATGGTAACGCTTAACAGCATCCACAACCTCTTGCGCTTTAACGTCGTTCCTCATATCGAAGAGTTTCGGTATTTCGTTGAGGAGAAACCGCACATGCGACACTTCTGACCGAACAGGTGTCTTGATGGCGGAAGTCGCATTGCTTCGACAGCTATGGCGGTCTTGAAGGCTGCTAATATATGTCGCATTCTTATTCGCGCGACAGACGACGCGGAAAAAGCAATTGTTCGACGATCGACAGCCTATCACCACACTCTTTTTGTTGCTCCTTGTCACTCGAAGCTCCCAATGCTGCCTGACCGATATACTTCGTACCGATGCTTTGAACTCTTCCAGCGAGGCGAACTGTTGGCCCATATGGAGCCCCGAGTATATCTCCGTCATGACGGTAAGGAAAGGTGGAAAGGTGCCGTAGATGGGACAGGCACCGAGTGGTTTTGCAAGCCGTTTCCATCAGTAAAACATCATCGGTTAGTTAAAACTGATAGACTTTCGTAAATGTCGAATTCGTAGATTGATCGGGTATCGTTTGCGTATAAGCACCAGAAGCATGTTCAGAAGGCACCATCCAGCCTGTCACGAAGCCTAGATAATAGGGAGGCAATTGGCATCGCTAAATATAGAAAATCCCAGCGGATACTGGATGAATTGCTAGCATTCGACCCCAAAGGGCCGTGGTTGGTTGGCTCACTCGGCGTTGTTGGCAGCGATAACAGTTAGTAGTAGTTGGGTGCGAAAGTACGGAACCATAAAAGGCACCCCCGAGCAAGATTTATGGCGGCAGAGCGAAGAAAGAATGAAACGGCCTTAGCGCGGATCCCCAGACCGCTCGCATCAGCCTTTTTCTAAAGCGCCCAACCTCCTCGGCGACCGAAGCAACCACCGATTTGTTCAACCGTCTGCTATCGGTGTCAATCGCAAGAATCATACTTTGATTTGATCGTACAATGGCGTCTTACGGCTTACTAGATCAGTCGGAAGAAGGTCGGCGTTGTCACTGACCTTGGACAAGCTTCCTCCACTTCACCACGCTAACTCCTTCCAGATGCTCTCCACAAGTCGCGCCTGCTGAACGTCGAAGAGAAACCTTTCAAACGTATATCAAAACGACTTTTGAACCCCGATTCGCTCATTGTCTCCAATGCAACCCTTCCTCCCACCCCTCCGCCAGATGGAACAGACGACGATGCCACCGCAGCAGAAACAGAGAAACAGAAAAGGCTTGAACAGTGGCGCCATTTTCGCGAAGACGTAACACTGGACTTTGCTGCATTCGAGAGTAGTATCGCGCGCATCCAATTTCTCTTGACAAGCAATGAGAAGGAACGCGAACGATATGCAGCCGAGAAACTTCGGATTCTCTCCACTATGCAAGCCGTACGCGACAACACAGCTGAGTTGAGGGTTCAGTTAGAAGAAGCACAACGGCTTTTAGCACTGCGAAAAAGCTACGATGATTTGGCCGATAAAATCACCAGCAACCGTCTCTTGAAGCCGCGGGAAGACCAACAGGCAAACCTACAGAAGCTACAGGCGGAGATCACTGAGCTCGAGAAAGAGAGCAAAGACTACGCGAAGACCTGGGCTGAACGACGAGAACAATTCGGCCGTATTGTGGAAGAAGGAATGCAGCTTCGACGTCTTATCAGAGATGAAAAGGAAGAGGTTGAACGCAGAGAAGGTATGCAAGAGGGCGAAGATGGAGACGACGGCGACGTTCCTTCCAAGGGGAAGTCTAGTGGAGCGAATACACCACGGCATGAATCGGATAGCGCTACCCCATCTCAACAAGGGCACGACGAAACGGGTCGTTCATCTGCTGGCCTACATGCAGAGAGGTTGACAGCAGCCGGGGGAGCATCGCCCTTACGGCAAGTCACCATGGCTGAAGATGATAAGAAGCAATCGCTAGAACAGGATGCTACTATGGTGGACGAAGGTGAAGTGACTGGAGATGAGAATGGGGAGAATCCTGATGACTTAGAGGAGGGAGAAGAAGTGCCTGACAGAATGGATATCACGTAAGCGACATACACATCTCTTGTTATCATGCTATTGATATATCCTTCATGAGGCAAGGAGTTATGCTTGGACGGCGTTTGATTATGGAATTGCTCATGATTTATAAAATTTTCTCTTCATTTGTGATATTAGGTGGTTGTATCATTAGCATGGTAGCATATGCATTGCCCTGATGTTCAATTGACCTCCCAGTTGATGGCCCTCAAGCGATCTCTCTCTCTGCCGTCCTGGCCTTTGAAATAGCGTCCTTGGCAGCATTGATATGCTCGACATTGCTCTCAGGTCCTTTGTTGCCCTCCTCAGTCTGCCGCGGAGTGTTAGCAAGAGGGATCCAAATCATGTGAAGCGCAATTGACGGAACTAACCAGGAGACTCTGAAGCTTCCTTATCGATTCTTCGATCTTCTGTTTCAAACTTGGTAGGACCTTCTTGGTTTCTTCGAGTACAAGACGCTTTAACAGGGTTAGCAAATCCATTCATAATAGCTATTCCACGGATGCGGATACCTCCTGCCTCAACATATACTCTTTGTTCTCATCACCGCCCTGTTCACTCTCTAGTTTCTTAATTCGTTCTGTTTGATCCTGCAATTCGCGGTGGTAAGACGCTTCTTCCTTAACCAGGCGCAAGACAGACGAAGTAGTGATCTCCAATTGCGTGCGTGGCGCCATGTTGCTGTTATGTCTAAAAGACCTAATTAGCGATTAGCTCACGAGGAGTCGGTATATATCATAAGTATGAATTGGTGGGTTATTCGGGGTTGGTGATGCCGAAGGGAGCTTATATCTGAAACCAAGAGGTAGGAGCGTAATTGTAGTCAGGACCAGGTATCCTGGACGACAAATAAAAGAAGCTGCCATGTGGCTGTCCTTTTGGCTTTGACAGGGGTTTGTGGTTGTTTAGGATGAAAATCACGCATAATGTAGATACCTTGTAATATGTGTTATCTTGTAAGTTAGCAAAAATACTCAGTAGAAGTTTCGTCTAAGAAGATGCTAACAAGCACTGATGAAGTTCGCCGTAGTCTTTCTTACCCCTCCGTAATGATGATGCTATCTAAGATATTTTTGCATTGTTTGCTTGGTGGGGCAGAGTGCTACTGCACGTGACGCCACCAGTTGACAGTGATACAGCCTTACAGGGGCATTATGCCGTGGATACTAGTATTATTATTTTCTGGGTTTCTTCTCGAGGCTAATAAAACGACGACTACCTATTCCGAAATGAGTCAAATTATGAATGCATCCATATGTCAGTTTTTCTTACCTTAACTTTCCCTAACTTAACTGGGACATTCCTACTTTGTGGCCAAATCCTTGAGTCACTTGACACGAATATGGCTATCCCCCAACCGTTCGGAAGCATAGCATCCTAGGTAACTCGCAGCTTACCCCGGAAGCCGATGACTCGCCCAGCCTTGACATGGATTGATGCGGGTCTTACTACTAGTCTAGTATGGGACTTGCCAATGGGCTAATTTTTAGCCCAGGTATGCAAGGCTGTGTCTGCCATTGCTGTGCCCCGTCGGGCGTTCGTGTTTTATGGCACCAACAGCATCGCCTCCTCACCATAAGGGGTTGCCCGAGATTTCTGCGTATAACAATGCTTTGTCGGAACATGTGCCGAAGATCTATGGAACGCAGGGCATATCGTCAGGCGTCATCATGGGGTGTACCTGTAATTATCATGTAATCGTAGCCCTGAGGCTCTTTAATCCGCGCTATATAAGTAACGTCCAGGTTGCGGCTTAAGACTGCTTAGACATCCTGAATACCGTCGAGTTTTGTTAGGCAGGATTAAAGACTTCAGTATAACAACACGTTCAAAATGTGATATACCGTTACCTATAAGAAACATCCTTCTTCAAGCGTCTGGGCTAACGAAGCGTCGACAGGTATGCGATTGCAAAGCCAAGCGAATATCTCGTGCTCACTGGAGCCGGGATAGACGACATTCGCATTTGCAAGAAAGCCATAGTACTTCCCTTCCAGCGAGTATGTTTACCATTTTCGAGAGCCAACCAGTTCATTGCTTGAGGTTCAATGCTGACACCACTTTTTATCTCATGAGTAGTGTGCGAGGATCTCCGTGACACCCTTTGATTTGGCGCTCAATCTTCAGGCCATGACTATGGAAAAGCTTCAATTTTCATTGCCGGCAGTGTTCACTATCGGTGCCGACAATGAAATGGAAGCACTCAAGGATTACGCTCGGCTTCTTGCAGAGAACTCTGATGACAAAACCAATGTCCAGAAAATCGTGAAAGGCATTATCGAAGGTGAAACTCGAGTCATCGTTTCCAGCATGTCCATGGAGGAAGTTTTCAAGGAAAGGCAGGTTTTCAAAAACAAAGGTCTGTAGCTTCATTTCAACTCGGATAGCTCAACTTAGCTAACGCTGTTGCACACTGGCAGTGATTGAGAGCGTACAGAAGGAACTTCAGCAATTTGGCCTGCGAATGTAAGCCACCTTAGCTCAATGAATGCTCCTTCCACTAACAGATGCACAGTTATAACGCCAATGTCAAAGAGCTCCAGGACACTCCTGGTAGCGAATACTTCAGCATCCTAAGCCAGAAAGCGCACGAAGGAGCTCTTAACCAAGCAAAGATCGATGTTGCTGAGGCACGGATGAAAGGTGAGATTGGAGAGGCAGAGAAGAAGGGTAAAATGAAGCAGGAGATCTCCAAAATCGACGCCGATACTGCTGTATTGGAGACGAAACGGAGGGCCGAAAAAGCCAAGGCGGATTCCGAGCTCATGAACCGTCAGACTGAGCTTGATGCCGGCGTTCAAATCAGCAAGATTACAACGAAGCGCCAGACAGAAATGAAAGATGCAGAGCTACAAAAACAAGTGGAGTCCAAGCGTGCTGAAACCGAATTGGAACGTCTTAGAGCCAGTGAGGTCACTAAAAGCAAGGTTGCACGCGAGTCTGCACAGGAGAATGCAGATGCCGCTTACTACACAGAACAGAAAGCAGCTGATGCGCGGTTGTATAAACAAAAGATGGATGCAGATGCAGCCTGTAAGTTCACAAAATTCTTGGAGATAGAGAGCCCCCGCGCTAAATATACTTAGATTATCGTCAAAGCAAAGAAGCCGATGCTGCCCTCTATCAGCAAAAGCGCGAGGCTGAAGGAATTCTCGAGATGTCTAAGGCATACGGTACCCTTATTGACGTCCTCGGAGGACCCCAAGCCTTCCTACAGTTCAGAATGATGGAGAACGGTACATATGAGAAATTAGCCAAGGCCAACGGCGATGCTATCAGAGGACTATCACCCAAGATCTCAGCGTGGAACACCGGTGAGTATCGCTCCTCGGCGCTATTTCCAAGGTGGTAAGAAGCTGACTTCAAATCAAGGAGAGGGCTCTGGAGATGCAATGGCCCCCGTCCGAAATATTATGCAAGGCCTTCCGCCTCTTCTCACCACCATCCACGAGCAGACCGGCATCAGCCCGCCATCCTGGTTGGGCCAGATGCCTGTGAATGGTGAAGTTAATAAACGAAAGTAGAAGGATTTCCACAAACCGGGGGATTTGAAGAAGCTTCACACATGACTCCTTAAGCATATGCCATTATTCCGCAAGTAACTCAGCCATTTCCATTTCTTGATGTTTTTGCAGTCCTTCCTTTTTGTTTTTGTTTTTTTTTCGTTTCGTTTTCGTAATACCCACTACCTTTCTTATGTCAATATCAAATGCTGTTATGTTTACAAAGAACTGTAAGTTAGTACAAGAAGTCAGACACTATTCCAATGTTATTTTATTAGTTGGTGCACTACACACGGGAAAACGGATAAAGGACACCCACGTAGACCCGAAGTGCTTTCGGCCAATCAAATCATGTGATAAGCGTCATCTGCTGGGGGAAACCATTCATTGTACTTTGAACGCTAGTATCAACACATCATCCCCCTGTAATAGTCGAACTGCGTCAATGCACCATTTGGGCTTCTTTGGGCATATCACTCATATTTCCGGAACCTCCTCTCGTGCCCATTTACGAGCTCCATATATCGCAATCTACCCATGCTACCTTCTTGGCTGCTTCTTGGTCTCATAATCGATAATGCCGCCGCCTTCGCTCTTTCAACTATGTACAGCGACTGCTGTTAAGAACGTCAAATGTGCGCATACCTCACTGAGCTTGTGCTTGGAATCCTCACACTAACCTCATAACTTTTTAGATTTAAATGATATTGGAAATGTCCCGTATATCCTTGCGCGCCCTTTTCTTTTGAAAATCGAAAGTCCTGAGAAACTCGTGAGTCGTTCTAGGCACAGTTGACTAGCTCCTTACCTGACCACAGCCGCCTTGATAGAGAACACTAGAACTGCAATCCCCTCATATTATAGACGAAGATAAAGAGCTCTGGCTCGAGTTTATAAAACGAGATATACCTAGATGGGACGAGTATGATATACCGGAACAATCTGATTGTTGGTATGACGTATATTGCGATCTTCGGGAGCGTGTGCAGAGGGAAGTGGATGAAGATGCCGAGAAACTGAAGCTGGCCCTGGACGGGATCAGTTCAGAACGTGCCAAAAACAGTGTTAATTTTGTCCCTGACCGACGCGATATTCGCTTACCCCGAGAAAGACCAACGGCGAAGCAACGGTATGCTTCGTATGACCGAAAAATGGGCGGCATCAAACCAATGTTTACATCTACGAGGAATACTTTCGGTTCGTCAGACCCATTAGGATCATCTCTCTGGTCCTTTGACCGACCGCCGCCTCCACCCAAGAAGAAAAGCAGTATATTTACTGCTCCGAAACGGAATAGTGCCCTGGCTGTGCCAACAAAACACCTGAATAATAGAGCCACACAAGTCAGACAAGCCCCTCGTTCCTTGATTGAGGAGCATAGACGGCCGACGGAACCCGCCGTACCTCGGCGGACTAACCCTCCTACATTGAGAGCACCCGGCAGGTCTAACCTTCAGAGTACACCCGATCGGAGAAGTCAAAATCCAATGGTATCCACGTCCTTGCGGGATAGGGAAGCGAGGCTACGGGCCATTGCCTCCGGGCAACGTCCGGGTTCTAGCACCCCCCTTTCCTCTACTTCGTCGCAATTGCCCGCTGCTGCAAGCTCAAGGTCGAGGAATACCCAGACACCTACCTCAAATAGTCGCAATGAGCTTTCATCTGGAGAAATTAGCTCACCGGCACGCTCACACACGGAAAGACATCGGTTTGCTGAAATGGAGCTCGGCACTGCTGCCGATGGGCCCAGAGGTTCCCCAGCACAGGCTCCTCGCCCTGCAATAGTTCGAAAACGACCTCCTCCAAATGTTTTCATGCAACCCAAAAAAAGAAAAGTTAACTAACATAATATCGGATTCGAAACTGCCATGGTCTCCATTCTTGATGTTACCTTCCCAAATATTAACCATAGTTCTGAAGGTATGGCAGTTCAGGGGGTTGGTGTGTAACTTGTCTTTTTGACGGTATTAGCGAAGGGCATTTGCATATTGTCTGGGCTTATCTTCTCTTCCTTTCCCTTTTTCTGGCTTTGTATACTCAACACGCCCATTTGGCACTGTTGACTGGAGTTTTCTCGAATAACACCTCAAGGTGTATCTGTATTTGAACCGCATGATCTTTACGATGTCTATGATCGCGATGCCAAACGCATGTGCATTTTTACTCTGCAAGTCTCTGTTTTCAAGGTATATCCAGTTTACACTCTTCTTCCGAATTTTGGCAAGAATTTTCTTTATTACGGCTACATCTTTTGCTCTATCCTCTTTTTGCGAAGTTGTGTTTTGAGAATTCTTTCGTGAAGCGTATCATTACTGCGTTGGTGTAGCACATTAAGAGTCATTCTGAGTCGGGGGTGACATGCATGTGGCACAGACATGCTATGCGGGTTCAGGAAGCATTCCTGCTATTGAAACACCATTCGCTTGCAATCAGCACTGGACAGCCCGCTTCTATCTCCAGGGTATAGTGAACGAAAACATAAAATGAGCTGAGTTCAGGCCACAATGTTCGGCTCGGCTTCGAGTGTCAACTGCAGAGAACCACCCAGCTAATTTGAGCACTGCATGCTCTTCGCAATCCCGATGGAGTACGATGTTCAGGACTCAAGGTGGGTGTTTACAAGGTCAGAGATCCACCGCGGAGAGCGAGAACGAGGTGTAGCGTCGCACCACCTTCGAGGTTGTATTCTGATGCGGTTTTATCGTCGGCCCTATCACCCACAACAAAACGTATTAGCGAAACTTCACGTCGCAGTATGATAGGCTTCGTTCCAGAGTTCAAGTACATTTGTTTTCCACCAAAGATCAATCGTTGCTGAACAGGTGGGATACCCTCCTTCTCCTCAACACGCTCCTTTATCCGGGACACCTGCGTAGTTTTAGTAACTGCGGCTCGAGCGAAAATAATTTATTGTTCGGTCTCGCGTGGATCGACGCATACGACGCGGTCAAAAGAAACTGTAACCAAAGGTGAGACAATACCTTGTAATCAGGCTCGATATCCAGCTCAATCTCCTTGCCGGTAAGGGTGCGAACTCTGCAACGACGCTCGACGGTCAGCCTATGGCCTCATTTTCACCGGGATGGCTGTTTCGTCGGATCTCCATAATCCAAGGATGGGGGCTAAGCACAACGGCACACATGACTCACTTGATCAACATCTTTGTATATTGTGTGTAATCCGAGACTCGGGGGGAAGTTTAAACTGGAAACCGGTATCTAAGCGGGCAGGGTATCAAATCCCAGGGAGGAATAAGGGGAGGGAGAAATGGCAGTGAGGCTCAACTACGGTGGTTGACTGGAGATGGTGACGGAAAGCTGCGCCGTGGCGCGGGGCCTTTGGTGGGGCGGACAATAAAATCGAATACATTCCGTGGAGCTTAAAGGGCAGAACTGTATGTCCTTGAAGGTAAGTACACAGACCGTGCCTCGACTTTTATTTGACATTCCCTTCGTAAGAAATTTGTTAGTCTAGTGCATAGTCTGTATTCGTAGTACTTTCAGGCTGTATGATTAGCCTTGCTGCGTGCAAATGTAGCCCTGATTAGTATGAACACCGAGCGCTGTGATATATACCGACGGCGTTAAAGCCTCCTATTTTTGGATTTCACCCCAAGTCTCAACAGTACACACTCACCACCAATACTTTCAAAGGCAGATACACCACCACAGTACTTATGATCGAAGATGTCTGAGATTACTTCCAGCAAACCAGAGATACCCAATCCTTTTGAACAGATTCTTACTGACTGTCAACATGATCCGGTACTTCTGTTTATTTCACCCCAGTCCCAGATAATATCCCCACAAACCTAATCGAAAATGGAATATAACAGATTGAAGTCCAAGACCGCTATGAAAACCACCGTACGAATAGAAATGCGCAATCCAAGGCCAAACTTCTCAGCCCTGATTTCTCCGGCTGGCAGATAGATGAAATCCTCCGCAAGTTGCACGCACAGGCAACCGACGCACAAAGAGACAACGAGCCCTCCTTTGTTGATCCTCGAAACAACTTCACGCTTTATGCCCGACCGCCACCAGGGATCCGAGAACTGGTGGCTGAGATCCAGGCGGATATTCAAGATGCTGCGCCAGGTTCGTTTTCATATGACTCATGATCTTCCGTTTAGTCATGCCAATACTGATACCATGCCTAGGCATCTGGGTTACACCGCCGGATTCCCTGCACATTACCGTGATGGAAATGGCTAGCGGACGGACAGAAGCCGATATTGAGGCGTTTCTCACCCATCTACAAGAAAGTGGCACGATACCAGACCTGGTGGATTACACATTCCATCATCGGACGCGGTTGGTTAAGCCCATTCTTAGCTATGATGCGACTGCCATGGCCTTGAGCTTTGTTCCTGCGGCTGGAGAGGAGACCGCCGTTGGAAACCAGGCATACTGCGATGAAGGGGATAGGTATACCTATCACCATTTGCGACGTGATCTTTTTGATCGCTTGACTGCAGCAGGTTTACTTATGAAGCCGAGGTATATTGTTCCTTCTGCACATGTTACCATTGCGCGGTTTATTGCACACGATGGATTTATAGTAGAAGGCTCAGAGCCAGGTGGAGTCCCAGTTGTAGATCAGGAGCGAGTCGCTGCGCTGGTCGAGAGGATCGAACAGATTAATGGAAAACTGCGGCAAAAATATTGGCCGCAGGGGAATGGGCCCATCTCTGCGAAAGGAGAGTGGATTATTGGGCAAGGCAAAGGACTAGAACTTTGTAAGGGTAGGTCATATTATGGTGGAGGAGAGAACGTTGTCACAGGGAAAGGGTTCCCATGAGTCTAGGTTGATATTACATAGATTAAAGATAGAAGAGCAAAAGACGACACTGATTGGATGTGGCTTATTGATGCCTGAGGTATGAATATACACTAGTAGAAAGCTGGTAGATGGTCTTGGCGTCACCAGAAGCGGTTAGACCGCACTTCCGTAATAGGTGCAATAGGGCCTAAGCGAAACGAAATCCCACAACCCATCAGACGGGCAGCCGACTCGATCACTCCCCGACAAGAGACTATCAACGACCACCGAATTCGCCCCGGCCAAGTCAGTCAAAATGGTAAGAGCCTAATATTATTGTTCTATTTTGCTTGCTGTTGTTATTTGGAAATTCTGGACATTGGAGATATGTGGTCGACATTTTGGTGATGCTTGCGGAGGACGACTCTTCTCAACGAACGGGCTGAAAGATACCGGATTTGACGAAACGCCTACGATCGAGAAAGACGATAACATTTCCCAAGTCAATAAGGGGGAAACCCGGACGGTGTGGGTTGACCGGAAAATGAGGCGACCATGTGTCCTGGTTTGAAGCGCGAATAGTGCCTACACAAACTGGATTTCGTGCGGTCGCGTCAAGGAGATCATAATCTTTTTCGACGGCACTCGAGATGACGACAAGCGCCCTGCAAAGTCTTCATATTATTTCCCCCAGCCTTTTCCCCTCGATGTCCTCTATAGCGACCAGATGTCGAACTACATGTCTCCGATGACCGGAATCCAGATATCCTGATGCAGCTTTATCAAAAGTCATTCGAACAGCAGGCGCTGATGTCTTTTCCCCAACCAGGTCAACGTTCCGAAAACCCGCCGGACCTACTGCAAGGGCAAGGAGTGCAAGAAGCACACCCAGCACAAGGTCACCCAGTACAAGGCTGGCAAGGTGAACATACCCGAAAGCCCCGGTTCCTACCAACACGACAATTGCTGATGCGGATGGATATCTATAGGCCTCCCTGTACGCCCAGGGTAAGCGTCGTTACGACCGGAAGCAGAGCGGTTATGGTGGTCAGACCAAGCCCGTCTTCCACAAGAAGGCCAAGACTACCAAGAAGATCGTCTTGCGTCTTGAGTGCACTGCTTGCAAGCAGAAGAAGCAGCTCTCTCTGAAGCGTTGCAAGCACTTCGAGCTTGGGTACGTCATGACTAAAACATCCGGCCTGTCGCCCACCGACATGTAATGCTAACAATCTCTACAGTGGTGACAAGAAGACCAAGGGTGCTGCTCTTGTTTTCTAAATTTGCAATTTCCTTGTTCGGCTCTGGGTTTCCTGCATTGCACAGGCCGCTTCTCCCGCGGCGGGGCACATGACATTGGGCAATGGGAAAATGAATAGGACTTCATATTCAGAAAAAAAAAGAATATATGACTCCTAGTTGATGAGTCTCTTCATGAATTAATCCCCGTTATGACGAGTAGAATGTCGCAAGATAGCCTCCTTCACCGTGCCCGTGTAAGCTACCAAGCTTTACGCTGTACCTGCTGGATCATCGTATGATTTTAGTCTTCCGTATCGCAAGTGTTAATGCTGCGGTGATCGCATTGTTCTCTCAGTCTTGTTGAACGGCAGTGTGTTGCAGTATTTCACGTAGTCTCCACACACCTGGCTATCAAGCCAAGCCCCAAATCTGCTATCAATAGCAGTGGGACGCCAGCCGAATCAACATTTGTCCACCGGGCATGCCCTATGCCAAGCCTTCTTTCAGACTTGGTTTTGTACGGAACGTTTTCAGCAAAACACTGAAAACATACATTAACAGGCTAGGGCTGTTCCTAGGAAAGGATTGATTGCTTCTACTAAAGTACACTTGATTTGCCTACCCCGTCTAATCTTAATCACAGTAAACTGATCACATTAATATCAAGAAACGCCCTACTAATCTTATCCTTATTATATATATCTCTCTAGTGCCTATCTTGTAGTGCATTCTAAGAGATAAACTTAGCTGACTACTTGTAGCAATGAAAGTCCCCTGGGCATCCATTGAACAAAAAGACTGCTTTTGCTTCCTAGCTGGACACCATGTTTATCTACCTGCTTCCGCGGTGGGCTGAAACCTGGTCAAGGGAATCCCACCCGTATTCCCGAAGCGAGCATTTATCAACGGTGGAGGAGTGTAAACAAACTCACTACATAAGTTTGCAGGGACTTGAATCTCTGCAGCTGAAACAACGCGGAATTGCCTTCTTGGGCTCCCCCGCCTTTCTCTCCCCTCTTTTCCCCCGGATCGTCCATTCTCCTCCCCGTATTCTCTCCAGTAATCTCCCAGCACCCCCACGGCATGTCACTTGGATCGGCTATGCTCCGAGCTACTGGTCCATGGATTTGCACCTCGGTCGACTGGTCACCGGTGTAGTGATAGTTTGGCTAAGGTGTATATAAACTCGTGCCTGTATTCCAGGTACTGTGAAATCACTACTGCCCGCTTCAGTCTACCCCTTCGCAAGAACGATGGCTATCTGGTACACCCTCGGTGTTGCGTTTTTCGCCGCAATCGGCACTTTCCTTTTCGTAAGCTCATATTCTTCCTCAAAACGTATGGCTGAATTAATTCTGATGCGCCAGTAGGGCTTTGATACCGGAATTGCGACCACAAGTAGGTTCAAGAACAAGACTTGTCAGTTGCTAGCAGCAAACTCATAACGTTTCCAGCAATCGCTCATCAGAGTTGGATTGATTATATGAAAAACCCCTCCGATGGACTCACCGGGGCTGTAAGTTGACCTTGCACCGCTCGCTAAGAGACCAGTGGTCTAAACTACGCAGGTGGTCGCTGTCTACATTGCTGGCGAAGCAGCCGGTGCTCTTACGCAGACAGCCATCGCCGATAAAGTTGGTCGCCTGCGTTTCATGGAGATGATGTGTGTCATTGTCACAATCGGAACTATAATCCAGACTGCGTCGATCAACATTGGGATGTTCCTTGCAGGGCGCGTATTGGCCGGCTATGCTGTTGGGTAAGTGTTCCTATACGTTCAAAGGCTCGGGTTGTAATGATAGATGCTTTATAGAGGACTCGTTGCTACAGTCCCCATTTACCTGAGCGAGATTTCTGACCCCCGTTATCGCGGTCTCATTGGCGGTATTTCGGGATGCGGCATTTCCCTCGGTACTATGGCTTCCAACTGGGTTGGATTCGCCTGTAGCTTTGCCCCGTATGGGCCAGTCCAATGGCGACTTCCATTGGGAATTCAGATTCCGTGGGGTATCATTATGTTCTTCGGGTTGATCACTTTTATGCCTAACTCGCCGCGTCACTTGATTCGAAATGGAAAGGTCGAGCTCGCGCGGGACGAGTTCAAACGAATCCGGAGGGACTTGCGCCCGGATGAAATGCATCGTGAGTTTGAGATCATGGCTGCGCAGATCGAATACGAGATGGAGCGGGAGATCACGTCATACAAGGAAATATTCAGGCTCTTTAGACATCGTGTGCTCGTGTGGGTTCTCGTTTTATCTCTTCACGATTGCATATCTTGCATCTAACGGAGTATATCTAGATCGATCGCCGTCCAGACTATGACCAGTCTTACCGGTGTGAATGTCATCCAGGTGCGTTCATTGCGAGGTCATTATTTCCCCGGACAATACTAAACCAAGCACATTTGCAACCAGTACTATCAAAGTAAGTCACCTTCACCTTCTACAGCATACCCTTCCTGACACCCGACCAGCAATTCTATACAAATCCCTAGGCATAGACTCCCACACCATCCTCGCTCTAGCCGCAGTCTACGGTACCATAGCCTTCCTCGTCAACTGCTTGACGACAAAATACCTCACTGATCAATGGGGTCGTCGAAAGTAAGGGTCACCACTCATCCGCCTAGTAGTATCTACCAAACACTCCCGCCCCGCTGACGAAATCAATCCAAAATAGGATGCTCCTCTCAGGTCTGGCAGGGATCATAGTAATCGAAATATACGCCGCAGTCATGCAACGAGAATTCCAGAATACAGACAACCAAGTCGGAAAGGGCTTCGCTGTTCTAGGCATCTATCTTTTCGTCGTAGCCTACTGTAAGCGAAGACCACCGTGCAGAGCAACAGACACCCCAAGCAGAATAAAAGCTAACCACAATGGAAATCCCCCTCCCAAATAGACGGAATGCTAAACAGCACAACTTGGCTCTATGGCGCCGAAGTCCTCCCCATATCCCTCCGAAGCAAAGTCATGGGTCTAGCAGCTGCCTCGCACTTTATCGTCAATGTTGCAAGTTCGTTTCCCTGCCTCTCTGCTCATGGACATTGCGTATAGGTGCTGATTTTGATCGAAATCTTTTGCAGTCACCGAAGCTGGGCCAAGTGCGTTTGCTAATATCGGGGAGAATTACTATTATGTTTTCGTCGCTTGCTCGGCTTTCTTCCTGGTTGTGGCTTATTTTTACTTTCCGTACGTGTTTTGTTCCCTGTTTCATTAATTGGTTGTTGCTTTGAGATCCTTTACTGATGAGTGATTATTAGGGAGACCAAGCAGAAGACGCTCGAGGAAATTGCTGCCTCGTTTGGTGATAAGGTTGTTGCACCTGGGGAGAATGGTAAAGATGGGGATGATGGGGATGACGCTGGAAAGCCTACATCTGAGCGAGTGGAAGTTGCTTGACGACATCTTCCAATGTCTTCCAATGCATATAGTTTGGTAACCAGTTCCTTTGGGATAGTTTGACATAATAAATTTCCAATGATATAATTCTATGTGACAAAGGAAAATAGAGACGTGTCGTATGACGGTTCCATACAGAAGACAAGGAAAGAGTGTTAAAGAACGCTGAGAGAATGATCCGGATCATTTTCTCCAGATGTCACAATTGCAGCGAATATAGCCAATTGTAAAAGCCGCGTAGGCCATGAAGGTCTGGATTTCTGGATGCGGGATAACTCCGGCCCCAGAGAATCTTTGATTGCAGACACCCCCAACTTAAAAGTGACTGACTCCTCCCCAAGAGTGGACACGCATGATTGCATGATATCATGCTTGACTCGTATACGAGGAGGTCCTGACATCGGATCAACTCCGACGGGGCTCCCGCCACCTCGCTTTAGCTTTCTTTCTGCAAGCTAGACTGAGTCGATCCTAGATCGAACGGCGGATATTCCACAACCAGAGACCGAGCTCGGTCTCTCTAGCCGGAAATAGCATGGTCTTGTACTGAACCATGAGATCGAGTACTGATAATGCGGCTCCAGCCGTCAATTTACCCCAGTCCCGACTGACGGAGGCGTTGCTCCTGCGCGAGGAAGTTCCATCCATCCCATTGGATCGACGACGGACTCACCCAATTCTGAGCACGGAGCTGAGAAAAAAGTGACTCCGGTATGTATTCCACCGGTGGTGTGGGGTAGGGTTGGATGAAGGATGGTGCAGCCGAGGTCGGGGCGGTGTTGTGACTGTTGTCCATTGGTACTAAGGTTTGTTGTTGCTGGCTTCGGGCACTGACGAAGTCCCTGGATGTCTTTTGTTAGTTTGATACTGCCTGAAGGTGGGATTCTGGACGGGGGATTGTATGAGTGGGTTGACTCACAGAAGCTGGCGTATAACCGGCACGGCTTTGCTGCAGAAATTACTGCGGTTCGACAATGCGGCGAAGGCATCCAATGACCGCCAGAGGAGATCGTGGGTCTCGGTGAATTCGAACTGGCTGTCCGGGTGCATGAGAATAGCGCAGAGAACAACGACTGCGTGGAAAGCGTGGAAGCTTCCCAGCCCACTGTTGTACCATTTGTATGTGGAATATTGGGGCAGGTCGTGTAGGGACTGGTAGATTGCCAGAGTGGCCTTGGCAGACGCGGCGCACTTAGCTCTCGCAGCGCATGTCTCGGGTGTGACCTCGCCTTGCAAGTAGCGGCATAGGTTGGGCCGGAGGGCGAGAAGAAACAGTTGGTGGAGGTGGCCGTACAAGGTGTTTAGGTTGGCCAGATGGTGGGTTGGAAGTGTTTCGCCGCTGGCGTCAAGTTGATACCGCTTGTCGCAGGTTTCATGGATCGCTAGGATCTCAGTCTCGATCTGCGAGATGCTGAATCTGGGTGCGAACGTGAAGAGGGTTTCGCAGATCATCGAAGAGATCTTGGATAGCTGGTATTCCAGCAGGAGGTAGGTCATTTGAGTGGGATGTGTTGTGGGCTCTGATGAGCCTCCTGTGAGCAAGTCCACGTCGTTGATCTCCAACGGGAACTTTACATCCTGAGAGTGTATTCTCTGATCGGGGCCGCCAAAGGTGTTATTCTGGTTGATATAGAGGATCATGAGGCCGGTCCAGGCACGCCTACGCTCCTCACGCTCGATGGGCCCCAAGCCAAATCGTTCCGGGTCAACATGACACCCCATTGAGATTGCCACATGATGCGTAAAGCCCAACAAGGTCCACGTAGGGAGTCCACGGTGGATCCTTGCGTAGTTGACGAGGACGAGGCACTGGAGAGAGTTGATGGAGTGGCGAGAAAACACGCCATCAGCTGCCAAGCATCGCAGCGCTGCCGAGCGATACCGCGATGATAGGACTTTGATATTGCGACTGACAGTTTTTTCACGGCCCAAGTCAGATAGCAGTGGATCATCGTCATCAAGGGCAGTGACTGCAACTCCCAAAATAATAAATAAGAGGGCAATCCATGCCGTGCTTACACTGCTTGGATCGTGACAGAATCGCTGATACTCAGCTTCGAATGTCAAATCATGCAGAATATGGAACATCTGATTCGATATGGTTAGAACCTCGCTAACCGATGAGCCATGAAGGGGGATGAGATAGGGTAGGACCTACGGGAGAGAATACTCGGAAGTACACATCTTTTAGCGCGTCGCAATATCGGCCCGGAGGAAGCACTGCCAGCAATTCCTCTCTGGAGATATTGTTTCTGGCAAAGGGAATCTGTAAATCATCGTTTTCCTCTGGGATGTCGGCATCGACGTCTTGCACTGCACTTCCAGTCACTGAACCCCATTGAGATGCCAGCGGGAGATAACGGACATAGCCCGAAGAAAATGTCTGTAGGGTGCCAAAGTTGCCCAGAAACGGGCTCCTGATATCAGGTTGGCTGAGACCGATGGAACTGTCCGGTTCCGAGAAGCTCCCGGCCACACTAGGCGACATTTGTGGTGAAAGGGAATCGCTCATGTATGAACTGGCGGCCTGCTTGTGTAGTGTATCTTCAAGGTTGCGGATGCGCGCCAGCAGCTCCTTTTGCAAAGTCGCGTCCGCCGTCACTGTATTCTCAGAGGATAACCGAGGCTGGCCCAAGTAGACACAGTCTTCTGCTCCTAATCCGCGTCGGACACATGTCTGGCACGGACGGCCGTCCCGGGAGCAGCGGATCTTCCTTGTACGGCATGCTTGGCAGCTAATGGGCAGTCTCTTCCCAGTGGAACGACTTGATGAAGTCATGGTACCGATGGGGAGGGAAGAGGAACTGGTCTAGCCAACTCCACACGAAAAGACTTCAAGTGGAGGCCGTTACGGTTTGGGGCTTGAAAAGAGATATTATAATCCACACTCGATGATGGGTGTCCACAGTCTCGGATGGGGAGAGAGAGAGAGAGAGAGATGAGTGCACACTTCCGAGAACTCGAGAATTCCGGTTGCCTTTAAACTGGAGAGGAAACGCCCTTGTTCAGAGATCTGCGAGCTGAATCGGTAGATGAGCTACACCGAATCGAGATGAAGACCTCCATTTCATGCGCTGTCGGTAGGAGGAATGAGCAATGAACATTAGAGTTAACCCTGCAACAAATTGGAACATAAGCTTCCTTTCCTAGTTGGCTGGCAGTTGGCTACATGTCGAATCAGGAACGGAATCCTTGCCCTTCTAGGGGCATGCATCCTTCTAGAAAACGAAAAACCATGTGGCCAGCCTCAATCCGTTTAAACTTTTCACATTGCAGGATTTGTGTGCCATGTGGGACGGTATGCCACGCGAAAAAGGGAGCAAGGAACATGGTCAACGTGGAAACTATTTGACAATGGCGAGAAATGGAGTTTAGGATCCGCTGGGGCTGATCCCCCAGTGGAGATTCGTCCAAAGAATGTGTGTGTGGTGGGGGGGGGGAAGGCTTGCATATTAAGGCGCGACCATGATGCCGAAAACAAAAAGAAAAAGAAAAAGAAAAGAGAAAAAAGAAAAGAAAATGTCGACTATCTCCGTCAAGTCGATATTTCCCCACAACTATCAAATTGCGGCGCTCTTTTTCTTTTCCTTTTATTGTTCTGGGTTTTCAATCAACTAGTTAATGTGTTTTAATTTAATTTAATATATATATATATTTTTTCAACGAAAGACTGGTCTCTTTCCCCTCTCCTCTTTTGTTGCCCCCTCGTATGAGAGCCGGCATCTTGTTAGTAGCCAGAAGAAGATGCAATTGACGGATGCAAGCATGATTCGAGATTTGCTCGGATTATTTCCGTGTATTCCGTACTAGTAGTAGAGGAGGAGGAGGAGTAGTAGTAGTAGTAGTAGTAGTAGTAGGAGTAGTAGTGACATGTCTCATCATGCTGGTGTGTAACTCGGCACTGTATGGTACCATCCATCATCCCTTGTCTGTCTCACGGACGTCACGGCAATGTCCATTATGCACATACCATCCCGACAGTATGCACCCAACCCCTTCATCCGGCAAACCTTTCGGCAAACACATGGATATAGTTTCCGGCCGACTATCCTATTGGCAAGCAAGCCGATAACTCACTACTACTAGTATAATGAAGTACTACCTGAGTACCTTATAACGACTATGATTACTATACGCTATCATATTGGCGAGGCTTTTGACAATTCAAATCAAGCCGAAGAAAGACGAAGAAAGGTAAAGAGAACAATAAAAAAAATAAAATCAAAAATCAAAATAAAATAGAAACCAATAACATTTCACACTAGGAAAATACGCTTCTTGTAGAAACGACAGCTATTACTCTGTACTTCGGTAGAGAGAGAGACAGAGAAAGAGCAAAATCGCCACCGAAGCGTGAATACACCGCTTAGTTGGTAGAACGACGCTTTGACATGAGATGCAATATCCAGGTGTGGGTAAATCATCGTGGGACTTTGGTTTTCTAGAAGCCAGAACGAAGATCCTTAAAATGGACCAATGAGTTATGCCCTTCTCCCTTAAGCGATCTGAAACTTTTTTCCCCCTTGTATTTTCATTTGGTTTATTTCACGACGGTGCGTGGCTCGGTCGGAAACCCGGATCAAGGGAGGCAAATTGGATGCGTGTTTCATTCACCCTGCATGTAACATGCATGAGCTCAGTCCTCCTCTTAGTTGCCTGGTAGCGCTCCGTGTTGCGTCGCACTACTGCCCGCGTGGCAAATAACGAGGTTGCCAAAATGATGATAGTAATAACAATAAAGCTATCGGCTTACAAACTCGGCTGATAGAAAAATTGCTCATAGTCCTTATGGTAGGGTTGTCGGTTATTCAGGAGTCGTGGTATCTTGTGGCCAATGATGATGACGTTGATAATATGATGAATCAGAAGCAGATGCAAGTGTGTTGAAAATGGAAGGTTTCTAGAACCGCCCCGTACCCCGTGCGCCAGGTACTAACATGAGATAGGTCCAACACTAAAGTCACAATTGACGATCGCAAGAACTATCTTTGGCAAGTATTAGCATTCCATTATCCCACTATTTGTTGACTATTTACATGTAGTAGTCCCGATCTTTGCACGTACTTGCTACTCTCTCACGTACCACCTCTCCCACTTTTCCGAACCATGGGCGGTAAGGAAATAAGGGACCCGTGATCCACGGAAACCCTTTCCCCACGAGTTTCCAGAAATGCCGTTGGAACCCTCCAAGGAATGAATGGGCCATTCCATTTCCGTACTTGCCTCGAAAATGGTGGAAGACAGAGCCTCACTACTTCTACTGCGCAGTACTAAATACCAGTCGGGATTCGGGGCTTCAGTATGTACAGCCGAGTCGGGCAACTCGGGGCGCTCAGCCTCAGTTTGGGTCATATCAACGATGAGGTCATCATTATGTCGAACAACGACTCGGGCCGGTGTAAAATAAGATAATGAGTACGCAAGTATAAGATGGATAGATATTACCTGTACCGTGGTTTTTTTCCTCGGAAGATGATCCACATTTCCCCAAACTGACAGGTTTACCATGGACGTGAACATTCGTCGTAGTTTGATTGATATGGATATACTGCGTTGTTGTTGAATCGGATATCCGTATCGATCAATCATACACTCGTGACTCGACTTGTTCATCACGAGATAGTTGTTCCACGTGGGTAATCTCCCCTTCCCCAGTTGTTCTTTGTCCTTCTCGTCCCTTCTTTCGATACCCTCACTTTCCCTGCCCACCCTCTCCATCCATCGTCGTCGATGTTTATCATATGTTTATCAAGATCCTGCCTATATGCCACTGTTGTTGATCGTATGACGTGTTGCAGATCCTAAAAATAATCATCCCTCTGTTTCTGCCAGTTATCCAAGCCCCTGCATCTTGCTAGTGATCAGTAGTCTGGCGGGCGCGTGCGGGATCTGATTTGCCCCTCTTGGTCGCTAATCCCGGATTCCCCCTCCACTCAAGGGCTCCTGAACTGTGTCGAATCTTCTGCTGCTTCGATCGGCATTTTGTCATCCTTCCCGTCCGTCAACGCCTAACGAAGTAATCCCTTTTTACCGTTCCCTCTCTTCATCCACGGTTCCAGCCTCCTCCGTACCCTCCCCACTTTTGCAGCCCCTCATCCGGCTTCACATTCCAACAACGGAATTCGTGATTCTACCTTCCGTTTCATCCATCACGAGGCAGTCCTTTCTTATCCTTTCTTCTTATCTGTCTTCAACTATCCTCATGTCATACATATACAGAGAGCGTGAACGAGAACGCGACTGGGATGAACCTCGTTCTCCAGTTACGATCAAACGTTACGTCGTCTCCCCCGAAGAAGAGCGAGAGCGAGAGCGAGACGTTCTCTACCGACGCGAAGACCCCTTTACTGGTGACCGAGAGCTGGTGATCCGGCGGTCTACAGACCGGGAGGAACCCGTCATGCTTCAACGTTACGAGCGCGATGTTGACTACGATTCCCGCAGCTATGACTACCGTTCCGAGCGGGATTATTACGAACGTGAGTACAAAGAACCTGAACATCTCCATCGCTATTATCCTACCCCCGTTGTCATTCTTGAGAGACAACCAGTACTTATGGTTGAAGCTCGAGGTCCTGTCTACGTCAACCCGCGGGAATCCGACTATGAGGTTGTCCATCGCTCAGAGGTGGACCGAGAACCCGGGTACTATTATCATCGCCGTGTTCGCGAATATGACAACGACCGTCGCTTTCACCGTGAACTTAGCCCTAGCGACTCAGTGTCCCAGACTACCCGCCGTCGGGATGACCGGGATGACCGTGACTATAGCAGCGATGACAGCATGGTCTACATCCGCAAAGAGACCCGTGAGTATGATGACCACCCACATCATCGACGTCATCTTGCCGAGGGTGCTTTGGTCGGAATTGGTGCTGCAGAGTTACTCCGCAGTCGTCGGAAAAAGGAAGGGGAAGAAGTCTCGAGTGGGGTGGGTCGTTTCGGACGGGATATAGGTGCTGGTGCCCTGGGTGCTGTAGCAGTGAATGCGGCATCCCGAGCCAGAGATTACTATCGTAGCAAGAGCCGACATCGTTCGCACTCATTTGACGATGATCGAAGCTCACGCTCTCATCACCACCATCACCATCACAGTTACAGCCACTCCCGTCGCAGTCGCAGCCGCAGCCGCTCTCATTCGCATTCCCGGGTGAAAACTTTGGCAGAACTTGGCCTCGGTGCTGCCGCTATTGCTGGCGCCGTGGCCCTTGCTCGGAGCAAATCTAAAGATGAGCGACGAAGCCGTTCTCGCCATCGAAGTAGGTCACGACACCACCGGTCATCTTCTGTCAGGTCTGGAAGGACTACCGATGGCGAAAAGCGCAGCGAGTCGCAGCGCAGAAAGCATATGGCGGGCGCTGGCTTGGCGGGTGCTGCAGTGGCTGGTCTCGTGGAGAAGGCACGCAGTCGCTCCCGCTCTCGTAAGCGTGAGTCGCGATCTCATAGCAGGCTCAGGAAAGCTCTTCCTGTCATAGCGGCTGGCTTGGGCACCGCTGCCGCCACAGGGCTTTACGAAAAGCACAAGGAGAAGAAAGAAGAGGGCGAAGCCTCGCGCCGCAGGGAACGATCGAGATCTCGAAGCAGGGCGCCATCCGAAATCTACCCTGACCCGACACGGGACTCGGCTGGTTTGATCGAGTATGGCCAGGACCCGGTCCATGGAAGGATTCCCGCGGCGGATTACTACGGGCAGCCTACTAGTCAACAGACTTATTACTCTGATGCTTCTGACCCGGCTGTGAGCGGCACGGGATTTGGCTCGTCCCGACACCGTGGTCG